AGCAGACGTCACATGCTAACGGCACCACTTTTGAGTTAGTTTGGATTCAATCTCCAGATCTCAATCAACGCAGGGCTCTGGGCAGCCTGACCAACAAACAGGAGGCAGACTCTGTTTGCCACTGAAGTACTCTCACCTTTGCAGAAAAAGAAACGTCCTAGCCCCCTAAGACCTGAAATATTGCATAGGGGAGGGGGCTCTAAGTACCCTCCCTGAGACCCAGGCAGCCAGAGCACGCGCAGGTGAGGCTGGGCTGTTGCTCACGTGGCATTCCCTGGGACCCGCCACCTCTGGGCTGCAGAAATGCAACCATGTGGCCCTCCTACTTCTACCTAAGATCTACAGCTCCAGGCGTGATGAACACCCTCTCCAGCAGGAGTAACAAGAGGGCACTTTGTAGACATATTTTGTTGGGCCCTCCTGGTATTTTTTTCTCAACGTTATTTGCTAACATTTAAAAGGGAAATTTCATATCAAAATCAGATTTCTCTCCTTTCCAGAAAACTAGATTTTCTGGCAAAATTCACCTCATTTGTTCCTCTTTCTACCAACTTGGTGGTCTTCAGAGTGAAAACTGGGAAAAATACCGAATTTCTCTGAGGTCTCTTCACCTCTGTTTTGGGACCTTTTCTATGTCCACCTGAGTTTGGGAGAACAGGAGAAAGAGTAGTTCATATCTTAGCTTGGCCCCTGCCTGGCTGTGGGGCGTTGGGCTGGCCTTCACACCCCCAAGTCTATCTGTAAATGACAGGTGGCGACAACAGCCATGAAAGGCCAGCCGACTGTGCGGTATAAGACAGGAAGCCGTCCTGCCCGAATTTCTGGGGCTGCCATTGGACCGACACTGGCTGCTCTCAAGCCTTTGTGGCCACACGTGAAGTAACTTTCTCTTGATCTCTGAAGCCAGAGCTAGAGAGAATACGTTTATCTCCACCAAAAAAAGTTATAGAATTCCCTAGAGCGAGAAAAGGGGGCTGTTATTAGCCCCTTTTTACAGGTGAGGAAACTGAAGATCAATCTATAGACCTCCGTAGAGGTCACACATATGACCTTTAGTGACCTATAAAGGGTCAAGGGGAAGGTTCAGAAACAAGTCATTCAACACTTGCTGAGGTGAAAATGCCTCCACTTCCTCTGCAGACTTGGCGTGGCAGGCGGACGCATCGCTGGAAAAAAACTCCAGGCTTATCTAGGTTTATATGAAAGCCTGTCGCCTTTTCCTTCAAACAAAAGCAAACAAACCACCACCGTGTGATAGACTAATTACAGGTTATGAGTGTATGTTTGTGTTTAAAAATAACATAGAGGAAAAGAAAAGGGAGGGGGAAAAACAACTAGTTTATGAAACCAAGTTTACCACCAGGACCATCTCACTTCATGTTCCTTTTTGAGAGAATTTGTTGTCAAACTGCTCCTGACCTGGTAAGTATTAGCGTCCTGATTTGCAGAAGGCTTTTCTTGAAGAGCCAAGCACCCTCTCTGTGCACTGATCATTTTGCTCCCAAACCTAGTTTTGTCCTGCGATGCTGGCAGCGTGTGAAAACTCTGGTGTTAAGTGCGAGGAGAAGCTGCAGCAGCAAGACCGTGGGAAGGAGGCAAGCACCCGGGTTTATCTGAACAGAGGCCCCCCTAGGTGGCTGAGCTCACAGCCACAGCCCACACGTGATGCACGCAGGCCGAGTGGTGCTAGCTCAGCTGACGGATTAGAGTCACATCTGTCATCTCAATCACCTTTGGGTTCCTTCCATCAGAAATGTCAAAGTAATAAGAAAACAAAATTATTATCACAGTGAACCAGAAGCCAGTAGAATAAGGGCTTACACTGGTCAAAGGTGAATGTTTCACCTTGTTACTTCATCCAACCCTTGCAGGGTCATGTCCTTTCTGGGTGGCCCTGTCCAGTGACTGAGGGAGGTGGGGTACAAAGGCTCAGCTGGGCCCAACGGGCGACACTCTGGACAGACAATGTTGGCTCCAGAGCTCCGCACCAGGGGGGCCAAGGGTTTGGCAGGCCCATCTTGACTTCTCCCCCTTCCTTGCACAACTGTGGATCTTCATAAACATCCTACACCTCAAACTCCATTTTAGCACTGCTTCCAGAAAACCCACCTACGACCCTCTCCCACCCAGGCTTGCTTCTCCCTCTAGCATCCTTCACGCAGCCTCAGTGACACTTCTTGGTACACAGAGTATTTTTGGAGACTTCACAACCAACAGGCAGGCACCAGGAATCAATTCTACAAATTCACAAAGTGCTAGAAGATCTCATGTTAGGGCAACATGGGCAATGGAGAACAGCTCTCCTTTGATCTTGAAATTATCAGTCCATAAATATAAGCTACCCTCTAAGCATGCTACACCCTGAAAGGGCAGCCCAGCGCATGAGGCAGGCAACAGCATGCCTCCTCTCCCCAGAGCAGACCTGGCTAACTGATACTTGTCCTGAATCCACCTTCAAATCTGTCACAACACAGCACTCTAGCAACCAAGTCTGGCATATTAGAAGTAGCAAAGGGGATGGAATCAATTTGCCCTTTCAGAACTTACTGTTCCTGTTTTTTATTATCACCATTTCTGCTATGCTCTGAATGTTTGTGTCCTCCCAAAATTCATGTGTTGAAATTCTAATTAGGATGATGGTATCAGGAAGTGGGGCCTTTGGGGAGGTGATTAGGTCCCGTTATTGCCTCCTTAGTGCCCTTGTAAAAGGGACCCCAGAGAGCTAGCTCACCCCTTCTACCCTGTGAGGGCACTGCGAGAAGGTGCCATCTATCAACCAGAAAACAGGCCCTCACCAGACACTGAATCTGCCAGCACCTTGATCTTGGACTTCCCAGCCTCCAGAACTGAGAAATAAACGTCTGTTGTTTATAAACTACCCAGTTTATGGTATTTCGTTAGCAGCCCACACGCACTAAGATAATTTTCATCTCCCTAAGTGGCAAATTAAAATGAAAAATTCTAAAGTTTTTATAACGTTCAAAGTTGTTAGTTAGGTAAACCTTTTATCCTCCCGAAAAGACAAATTTTAATAACTTTCTGCTACTGTTCATCCTGAAAACTGCCAAAAGTAGAATATCTGCTGTCACTAGGCAACATTGCTTAGGATAAGGATGCAACTGCCTGGTAAATTGCATCTGGATGTGGAGGCCTTAAATATAGATACCCCTGATGTGAGGCCAAAGCTATGGGCTTCCCATCCCACGTGGAGTGTGGCCCTTTCAGACAATGTGGACCCCCTGTGCACCAGTGTTAGACCCACTCCTTTGCACCTGAGATGTCACTTGGGTTGGGAGGGAAGAACACCCTCCAGGGGCCAGCTGCACAGACATGGGGAAGGACCATGCCCACTGAAGAGGACAGCCACTGCGGCCTTGCTGGTTCTTGCACGTCATAGCCCCACCTCATCTGTGCAGACAGGAAGGGTCCCTGGTTGACGTGTGGGTCTGAATTTTTAGTGGAGCCACAGAAGAGGACCCCTCAGAGTTATCTGATAAATATCCAGAACCATAAAAGTTCTTTAATTCCAGAGAATACAAATTCATAAAGATTTGGAAGAAGGATTGGGGGTTCTTTTTCTGGTTGCTTTTAGTTAATTTATTAGAAGGAAAGAAGGAGGGAAGGAAGGAGGGAGGGAAAAGGGGAGAGAGGGAAGGAAGAAGAAAGTTTTGAAAACCAACTGCTCAGTTTATTTGGTGCAGAGAGATTCTAAATGGAAGATGTGCATGCATTTAATCCTTAGTGATCTAGAGCCAGACATAGCATTGTAAGATGACATCAAATTTTAACTGCTGAAAATTTCCACCGTTTAGAAATCTATCGACTATTTAACCTAATGGCATCATGGAATGCTATGTAGGGCACTGATAGAGTATCACGCAGAGAGAAGAGAAGGCATGAACCGCATGCAGAAAATGCAGTGTCGGATCTACAGGAGATGAGAAGGTTTATCACGGGACACGCATGCACTTCCAGACTTTGCTTTACCTTGTCATAACAGGGTTGTGAATACCATATAAATGATCTTTATGATAACCATTATTACCATTTTCCATACTGTAACAAAAATAAATATACCAAAGACACCATGTTATCTCTAAGATGAAGTATTTACATTATGGATTACAAAGACAATGTAATGGTCGTGAAAAGTATGCGACACTTTGTCAAATCTACAAAGAAGGTAAAGGGTATATTTACATTTTAAAAAAACCAAGACCAAAATGACTACTTTGCAGATGAATACATTTAATATATAAAATTTTCATTAATTCAATAAATATTCCTTGAGCACCTTCTATGTGCCAGCCATCTTTTTAAGAGGCATCATGATTTATTTTTTACCTGGACAGATCTATTGTTTTATGTCATTTTAAGATGTTATTAATTTAATTTTAAAAGTCCCTCACATAATAATAAAACCTCCCCCATCCCATCTATGAATAGAGTTTAAAAAAAAAGGCTTACTTTTTCATGGGTATAGTTTCAACACTACAAAATACAAAAAAGGGAGATACAATTACTTTTCTTGTTATTATTAAAGCTTAGCAGCTACAGCCCCAATATGTTTACTCTAATACAGACATAGACGGTGCAAACTCAGGAGACACACACGCTGAGGAGATGGAGGAGATAAGCAAAGTAAAGAAGAAACACGCAAGTTCACCAGACACAGCGAAGGGCAGACTACAGGGCCAACACGGAAAGCAGTAGAAACAGTTATCATAAAGTGAACTGCCAAGTCCCCGAGAGAGAGGAACTGCAAATAAGAAATAAAAAGGCTGGTTACAGAAGCTGAGAGGATTAAGCAAGAAGAAGAAAACTGTTACTACAAGTGTAAGAAAATTGGTGCAATAAAAATCCCAACAAAACACTTGAACAGAAATGACCCACTACTTAAAAAATGTAAAAAATCAAGTTTAAAATCTCATCAGAGCTCATCTCTTTGAAGACGGCACCACCTAGACAATGACCCCCCGGCCCTGTGGAAACCCACGTACTTACTCATCGTACACATCCTCCGAATCCATTCGACGATAGTACTTGGCCAGCTTTACGGCAAAAATTAGAGCCGGAAGTAAAAATACAGTAGCTTTTCCTATGCCAAACCAAAACAAATTCTAGGAGGAAAAAAAAAATCAGAAGAATTCAATGATTGAAGATGGGAGATGGAAAACAACAGTTGTTTGGGGAAAATTTTCTTTTGCGATTTTTTTAATGAGTTTTCATTTTGTTTCTTAAAACCATTTGTGAACCTCATATGAACCAGCCACTGTGTGAAGTGTTATACATTATGATTCATTTAATTTTTCAAAAACCTTGAGAAGATCCTATTAAATTTGTTTTATGAAAAAGGAACAGAAGTAGCAAGTGGGAAAGCCAGGATTTGAATCTAGGATGTGCCAAAACAACTTCGGACCGCCCCACTATAGGACTTCTCTTTGCTGCCCACTGTCTAGCAGTAAGAGCACAGATGGCCAGCAGGTCCGAGTTTAAATTCCTTTTATGGGTTTTTTTAAATGTTAAGATGATTAATTGACCCTCCTATCTTTGTTCTGCAACTGAACAGTTAAGATGGCAGCATCCTCATCCCAGAAAATTATTGTGTCAAGAAGATAGAAACATCCACTTAAACACTTAAAAGTTTGTTTGGAGGGTAGATTTTATGTTACGTGTTCTTACCACGATAAAATAAAATTTAAAAAATAATAATAACTGGCTTAAAATACCCCCCCAAAAAAGTATCGTTTTTTTAAACAGTTGCCCAGATGCATGAGTCAGATTTCATGTGTAAACCTGGGTTTATGTCTTTCCTTGAAAAATCTGAAATTCTCTCTCTTAACACTGATCCCTTGTTCCCACAAGGCAACAGTCTAGAAGTGGTTCTTTCCAGAGGGGCATTTGTTTTCAGTGTGGCACAGGCCATACTTCTAAAATTTGCAGGCTGAGATTCAAAATTATTTAACCTTATGGACCAATCAGAGCAAACACAGCAATGCATGGCCTGTTTGACCATGTGGGTGCCCGTACGTGGGCTGAATGCCACTTCTGGCCAGCATCCTGCACTTGGCCTGCTTTCTAAATCCACCAGGCTCCTATGGATAGTAGTTCAAGTCTGAGGCCCGCGCCTAGAATAATGCTGTCAGCAACACTAGTACAACTTTTCTCAGCCCACCTTGAGGCCAAACACAGCTTGTACAGAACAATAGCTGCTCTGACCCTCAGGGCCTGGCCCTGTATTTCTGCTTTGCTCCTGGCTAAGTTTAGTGCTGCAGGGTGGTGCCACCCCTTTGGTCCCTCATTTCCAGTCAATTTCTTCTCCCTTGCTCCATTTTCTTTTCTTTTTTTTTTTTTTTTTTGAGACAGAGTCTCACTGTGTTGCCCGGGCTAGAGTGCCGTGGTGTCAGCCTAGCTCACAGCAACCTCAAGCTCAAGCAATCCTTCTGCCTCAGCCTCCCGAGTAGCTGGGACTACAGGCATGCGCCACCATGCCCGGCTAATTTTTTCTATATATTTTTAGTTGTCCGATTAATTTCTTTCTATTTTTAGTAGAGACGGGGTCTCACTCTTGCTCGGGCTGGTTTCGAACTCCTGAGCTCAAACAATCCACCCGCCTCGGCCTCCCAGAGTGCTAGGATTACAGGCGTGAGCCACCGCGCCCGGCCGCTCCATTTTCATTTATTAGTGGATTTCTATGTTTTCAACCTTGTTTTAAGAAGCTTTACAGCTTCATAGCAACCGTATCCTTTTTCTAGAGGCTGCTTTAATCCTTTTGGAAATAATCAAGATACAAAAGAAACATGTTAGCCAGCCTGTAGTCTGTTTCCTTGGTGAAGCAGATGCCCAGAGCTCTTCTTACTATTTAAACCACCTGCTACAAAGCTCCAGCCGATCATCTTCCCAAGCAGCCCCCAGACCTCCCCTCAATCTGTCCCTGATTATTTGCAGAGAGGCACCTGCTAGTTGGCTGATTTGACTGGTTGGGGGTAGTAGACGGTGGAGGCTGGATGGACACAGGGAGAAGTCGATTCAGGTTCAAGCAGGCTAACCCTGACTGCTTTAATGAGGGCTTCTGCCAAAGCTGGCAGCAGGGGCCACCAAGCACAGGACTAAAAGGGAAGAGGATGCCAGAGGAGGGAAGCAGCCAGGAAGCCAGGGCTTAGGGTCTATGTGGCTGGGACAGTGACAGGATCCTTCCCATGTGGGCATGAAAGTCCACCCAGCAGAGAGGTGGAATGAACAAGGGACATGCACAGAGCAATATGGATGCACTGAAACAGACAGCTACCTGTCACCCTTCATTCATTCTGCGGTGATACTCGGCCAGGCAATACACCTCACGGCAGAGACACAGCCCTGTACTCACGGAATTCAGAGTCTAGAGTGTGTTTGGGGGCAAGTCTTAATCAAAGAATTGCACAAATATATAATTCAAACAGCAATATATCTCTAAAGGAATAGCATAGATTTCTACAGGAATGTAGAAAAGGGAGCCCAACCTAGTTTGGAGGGTCAGAAAAGCCTTCCTGGAGAAAAAGATGTTTGAGCTAAGACCTGAAAACTGAGCAAATGATAATAGTGAACACTTACAGAGTATGTTAATGTACCAGTGGCATTAAGGGTTTTACATGTAACCCCTCACTGAACCATCAAAACAAGGCAATGTAGGTGATGAAGCTCAGAATATTTCAGTAAATTTTCAAAGTCACAGAGTTCTAAAGGTGTAGAAATGGAATTTGAATTCAGAGTCTGTGTGTCCTAACCGTTTTGTTATAAGACCTAGAGGACTTAGCCTAGTGGGTGGTGGGTGGGGAGGGGAAGAGGACAGAGAGAGAGAAAAAGGGGGTGTGTGTCCATCTCCTGTCCAGACAGAGGGAATGGCACATGCAAAGGCCCTGAGGTGGGGAAACTGAGATGCATTTGGTGAACTGAAAGACGGTAAGTGTGTCTGCAGCACAGGGAGGAAGGTGAATGGATAAGACAAAATGAGGCACGGAGGGGCAGGGGCCCAATCATCAGGGCTGGCCTGTCCTGCAAAGGATGCTCACGACAGCCACAGGGAGCCAGCGAGGTGTTTTAAGCAGAGGTGAGCGGATCGGCTCCCAGAGTCAGTGCATGTTGAGGGGTGATTAGAGCTGAGGAATAAACCTGATTAACTGGAATTACCATCCCCATGGTCATATCTGAGAGGGCTTTTAAGTGACAAATGAAGTTTGGAGTAGCTTTCAGTTTGTGTATATAGTTGCACTAAGAATCCTTCTGAACATTAGTAATCTGCTCCCAATGCCTGCTTCTTTCTAGTTATTTTGGACAAGTGGGAGTTTTTTTCACAAGAGTCTCCTGACTTCTGTAAATACAATTCTAGTAAGGAACGAAGCTATGCAACTGGGGCTTCGACTTTTCTGGTCTATTCGGCATCAAAACACATTGATTTAAATTTTAGATTCTAGGGTTTTCCATTCCAAAATCATAACAGACCCAAGCAGAAAACTAATTATTATAGTGTGCATTACAATCGGGGGTGGGGGGAAAGGATCAAGGACCATGGACTTATTGTGCCTCCTTCTTGTTAGTGATGAAATTCTTACCAGAGGACTGACGACGTAGCCACACAGAAGCACGTTAACAGCAGAGTCTAGAGCGGTGGCCACAGGTTTGCAGGACACCATCTTCTCTCTGATCTATGGGAGTAAGAACCACAACAAACTTTAACCGAGCCACGTCCACAAAAATCCACCAGACTCAGACGTGCCATTTACCTTTGACCTGGTTTCACACAAAAGGACCTCCGTGTCCTCTAAGACTATGGTGCCCAAGCCCCGGGCCGCAGTACTGGTCCGTGGCCTGTTAGGGACCGTGCTGAAGAGCTCCACCCCCACCGCCGGCCACGGAAAGATTGTCTTCCATGAAACTTAGGAACGAGGGAGGGAGCCGTGGCACAGCAGGAGATGAGTGGCAGGCGAGGGGGCATATTTACAGCCACTCCCGATCACCCAAGTGGCTGCCTGAGCTCCACACCCCCGCATCCACCCCCAACCCGTGGAAAAATTGTCTTTCACGAAACTGGTCCCTAGTGCCAAAAAAGCTGGGGACCGCTGCTCTAAGACATGGAGCTGACAGCTGATTCTTATCGATGAGTTCTGTAAGGTTGCTGTTGGCCCTCTGTAACAACCATGGGTTCTGTATCTGTGGATTCAACCAACCGTGGATCAAAAATATTAGGAAAAAAAAGAAAAAAGGATGGTTGCACCTGTACTGAACACGTATAGACTTTTTTTCATATCATTATTCCTTAAACAATATAGTGGAGCAACTATTTACATAGCCTCTACATTGTAGTAGGTATAATAAGTAATCTAGAAGGAATTTAAAGTATACAGGAAAATGTGTGTAGGTTATACACAAAGACTATGCTATTTTATATCAGGGACTTGAGCATCTTCAAATTTTGGCATCTTTGGGGTGGGGGGTCCTGGCACCAATCCCCCATGGACACCGAGGGACAACTGTATCTGCTTTGAAGCAAGACCCACCCTTATTTTCTCAGAGCCTCGGTTTCCAGTTTTCTCATTTGTTATTGAAACAACAAGACCTATCCTACAGTACTCCTGAGAGAATGAAAGAGTTCAGCATGGTATTTGTCTCAATATTTTTTACCTGAGCCTTTGTTATCTGACAAAGGAGATGGGAAGAAAATGGAAGAGTCTGTACGGCGATGGTGAGCAAAGGGGACCAGAGGGGCCCCGGGAGAGCATGTCCTCTGACCTGGTGAGCAGGCCCCAGAAGTCTTGGCCCCACACTGCAAAAACCTTTCACTTACCTCCCACCAAATTACTGGGGAATTTAATTTTATTTCCTCTAGATTTTACCCTAGAAAATGACCATCCTAAGACATGGCCTCCTTGATGTTTATAAAAGATAAACTACTTACAGAGAACTCAGCCCACAGCAGATATTGTTCAAAGTACCCTACTATTGTTTTCACGTACTTCTTAGTTTCCTGGAAGGAAATCAAAGATTAGTAAACCATTAAAATGACGAAAGCATACTTAAATATTATAGAGATTTAATCTGTAATGTTCACATGCCCGCTTATTGCCATGCTTATTTTAAAAAAGAAGACTCACATCATTAATAACAGAGGTAATGTTGTTTGTGATGAAGTTCTGAGCAGAATCCAAAGAGGTAAGAATCTTGGCTATTCTGTCCTGGAAAACACGACAACAATCCACAGGGTATAAAGTGATGCAAGGATTTCATTAGACAATCTGCATATCGATTCCAGTACCGTAACCCGGCCCCACAACACCATGGCGTGGGCCTGCTGCTTAGGAAGATGACAGAGCCCCTCTGCGGGCAGGAGCGTGGGTGCAGCAGGAGCACATACTCTGGGCCAGACACTGGGCCGGTCCTTTTAGGGAGGGGCTCGTTGAATACCCACAACGCGCTCTGTAAATAGTTGTTATACTGTATTGTTTAGGTGTGGTAGGCTCCCTTCACAGACCAGGCAGCTGATCCAAGGTCAAGGTCAAGGTCAAGTTCGCCAGGCTGGGATGTATTAGAGAGTACTTGGGATTTGCACCTAGCTTTTTTTTTTTTTTTTTTGTAACTCCAAAGCCCACAGTCTTTGCACCACCACACACACAAAGACAAGGCCTCTGCCAACCCACATGCTAGCGTGGTGTAAATTAGAAAGGGGCCCCTTCTGCCCAGGAACCTGAGGGCACAGAGCCTGCTGAGTGGACAAATGGCTGACTTCCACCCTCCCCTGCCCGCACAGCTGGGCCCCTAGTGAAGGGCATCGCACAGCTGTATGCATCACCCTGAATGTCAAGGCGTGCAGAGAAAGTACAGGACCTGCACACAGTCACCAGTGTGCCGCAGGTTCCCTTGGCGTGGGACACACACTTAGGAAATGGTAACCATGATTAGAGGTACAGGGAGGTCCCAGAACAGAGTACAACACAAACATCTTCAGAGGAACCGAGTCATAATGTTGGTCTCACTGAGAAAAGTGAAGGAAGAAACATTTAATTTTTTCCTGTGGGGCTACATCCAAAACCTCTCATGGGTAGCCTATGCCACTCAATAAAACATTATTTTCCACATTGCCTGTTGGCATTGTGGATTCATGATAAACGCTGGAGCCTTGGAGCTCCATTTCTGCGGTGGGAACATTTGCCTGAGGGCACCCTTGTGGTAGATTGTATTAGTCGCTCTGGATTATTGACACCCTCCCTGGAGCCACCTCCCAGGGCGTGGAGTAGACTTCCCCAGCCCCGTGACGGTGGGCACGATCATGTGACTTGCTTTGCTGGTGGAATGCTGGGGATGTAGTAGATGCCCGTTCTGAGCAGTGGCTTATAGGACAACCTACATTTCCACTCATCCTCTGAACTCCTGTCCTCCACTAAGAGGACATGAGGTGGCCCAGTCAGGAGCTGCTCCTTCAGGCTGGGTGTCTAAATGGGAAGCTATGTAGAGAAGCCTGTGGTCAACCCCAAAATGAAAATGAATGATTGTGGTCAGAAGGCACTGAGATTTGGGGTTGTTTGTTAGGCAGCATCACCTCTGTAAAAGTGACCAACGTACCTCCTAAGCTTACATCCTACACATCAAAACACAGTTTTCACCTAAGTATCTAACAACCTGCTAAGACGAGGTCTATGTTTATAGAAGTACTTATAGAAAAGAAATAGTAGGAAAACCCAGTTTGGTATTTAAAATGGGTAAATAACTGAGACTTTTTTTTTTTTAACTTAAAAGTACTTACAAAAATCAACACCTCTGAAATTCTATGTGTTAGTATTTTAAAACCAAACCACCAAACCCCATGACAGCAAAACAAAGTAAATCCTCACCATTAATCCATTGCTTATGTGTTGCAGTGTCTTGATACTTTGCCTTAAAGTGCCCTGGTGGACAAACATAGATAATATTTTCAAAATATTACATGAAGCAGCAAGGTCACATGTCTTGTGTCCTCCCCTCCCCCAAGACGGTTATCAAATCTGACTTAACACTGTAATGGTTTCATTCTAGAAAAAATAACAGACACTAGTAACAATGTGTAACTTATACACCTCTGGTGTAAGAAAACCTGAAGAAAAACATCAGGATACACATTCTAAAGCTTCAAAGGGCAGTGCCTCACATACAAGGTGTCCAAGAAACCCCTCTGAATTAGGTTTGATCAGAGTAGAAGGCATTATTTAAAATAGAGCCTGCCCCACAAGAGTAGTTTACCTGAATGGTTTGGACCAGGGGTTGGTAAACTGTGTCTGTTAAGGGCCAGACAGTAAATATGTTAGGCTTTATGTGCTATAGTTCCAACTACTCAGCTTTGCCCTTGGAGCCAAAAGCAGCCACAGACAGTTTGTAACTAAGTGGGCATGGTGAGAATGCAAATTAGTACAACCTCTATGGAAATACAGGATGGAGATTCCTCAAAGAACTGAAAGTTAACCTACCATTCCATCTAGCAATCCCATTACTGGGCATCTACCCAAAAGAGCAAAAGACATTCTATAATAAAGACATCTGCACTCGAATGTTTATAGCAGCACAATTCACCATTGCAAAGATGTGGAATCAACCCAAGTGCCCATCGATTTATGAATGGATTAACAAAATGTGGTATATGTATACTGTGGAATACTATACAGCCACGAAGAAGGATGAATTAAGTCCTTTTGCAACAATTTAGATGGAACTGTGACCATTATTCTAAGTGAAGTAGCTAAAGAATGGAAAAACAAACAGGACATGTACTCGCTATTAAATTGGAACTAACCCATGAGGACACATGTGCACAGAGGGAAGTAAAACTCAGTGGAAATCAAACAGGGGGGAAGGGAAAGGAGGGGATGGGCAAAAACCTACCTAATGGCTGCAATGAACACTATCTGGGTGATGGGCACACTTATAACCCCAACCCAAGCATAACAAAATTGATATATGTAACCAAAAACATTTGTACCCCCATAATATTTTGAAATTTTTAAAAAATTCCTTTCCTTAAAAAAAAAAAAAAAAAAGAAAAGTGGGCCTGGCTGTGTTCTAATAAACTGGCAGCAGACTGTAGCTTTGGAGGGCCCTAGTTTGCCAACCCTGTACATGTGAGCATAGGTCACATGCACAAAACAACTTGCCTATTTGTGCATAGGTTGCCCTGGTTCTGAAAAAGTCATGAAATCCTGTCTATTTGAAGGAAAGCATTAAAAAAATGCAAAACCAGCTTAAACTATTGACACATTTGTGTTGGGCATAAAAAAGTACAGTAGAAAATTGTGAAGAGCACAGGATACAAATGAAGAAAATTCAATAGGATGATTTTGTGAATAATCTAATGAATTAGGAAGTCAGGAGAGAAAAAAAGAGTAGTGAGAACTAGTCTGGAAGTTCATTCAGATGTTGGAGGCGAGTGGATTTACGCGCTTCTCTAACCTGAGTGAGCTGATTCAGTAACCCAGTTTCCACACAGTTCTCGCCTTGACCGCGGCAAACAAGACCCGCATGCAAGCATATAATAATTCCTCCTATTTCCCGAGTCCCTCTCTGAGGTGAGGTCCTTTAACTCCATGAATCAGGTAGTAACAAGGCAGGAATTGTTCCCACCATATTTACATGAGGAAACCGAGAAGCCACAATACTTTGGAGAGGCAGAAGCAGGATTTGAAACCAAGTGTGTCTGATTCCAAAGCCCATATTCTTTCCTTGCTGCCAACTGCCTTTACTGCATTAAGGAAAGAGCCAGAAGGTGGTGAGAAGGAAACGGAAAGAATGGGAGAGAAGAGAGGAAGCATGACCATGGAGACGGCTGACGGAGCTAAGGGGATGCACACAGAAAAGCACTTACCCTCACCTTCGCATGTTAAAGTTTGGAGAAAAAGAATTGAAGAATAAGTGAGAGCGAATCCACAGCACTGTGGCTGAGTGCAGGGCGTGGGAAGGGCTGCTCCCAGCAACGGAAACTAGAGCAAGGTGCAGGAGACGGCCACAGGACTTCATCTAACTGCTCAAACCCACAGGGAAAAAGGGGAGGAAATAAACAGGAGAGGGAGGCACAATTTAAGCTTTGCCTTCTTTAAAGCCCAGCTCAATTTCTGAGGTGGGGCCAATGGGACTGGACCTCGAGAGATGAGCATTAGGCTAAATGAAAGGCAGCCAGCTGCAATCGACTTTGCTCAGGCCACAGTGAAATCCCAGACGTTGCTGTTACCAGTGATTGCTCCATAGGAATGATCTGTAGACGGTGAATCATTTTAATAGTTTCTGCATCTCTTTTCAAGGACTGCCTCAAATTTCCTGGCGGCTGCAAAGAGAATGAAATAAGCAAAGATCAACACCTTCTTTCCAGACTCAAAGCACGCTCTCTAACCACAGGGGGCCCAGGCCAGCCGAGACATAAGCATGTAGGCAGCCCTCCTTGCCCAGTAACAGCCATGGGTGGACACGGGGGTTGGCCAGGTGGGACAGTGCCAAGACACCCTGCTTCAAATCACAAGCCCATGGACTCTCGGCAATAACCCACACTGATGATTCCTACCTGAGTGCCAGAGGCTGTGTCCTTTCTCCACCTCACCGTGATGTAGCCACTATGAGTTTCCCCATTTTACAGATAAGAAAACCAAGGCTCAACCGAGAAATTTTTATATAACGCACACTTAAATAGTGTTTAGCGTATTAACATATAACAATCCTATAAGGTAGGTGCTTATCGCCCCCATTTGACAGATGGGGAAACTAAAGCACAGAGAGGAGAAATATCTTGCCCAAGCTCCTGCTGTTAGGAAGCAGCTGATTCAGGATTTAAACCCAGGTCTTCCCCCAGAGCCAAGGTTCCTTGTCACCGTGGTCTGCTGCTTCTTGGATGGGACCAGTTAAGGCCAAGTGGTCACCAACCAGCAGAGAAGTCAATGAATGGGATGCTTATGGGGCTCAGGTGGTGTCTCTGCCCTCCCTTACCACTTACCACTGGTGATGCAAAGCAACACATGGAATCTTCCTCCCACATCCTCAGGTACCATCCCCCAACTCCAAGAAAAATGACGTGTGTGTGTGTGTGTGTGTGTGTGTGTGTGTGTGTGTGTCTAGGTGGAGGGGTTGACAGAGGTGAAAGCAGATCCAGAGCTGAAGCAGCAAGGACATCTTTCCTAAGTGCAGAGGACAGCAGCTGCTGTGGTCACCTGGCAACATTCAGGCTCAGAGAGGTTTGGGCCACACGGCAATGGCTGCTGATAGGGACTTTTGGCATGCTCAAGAGAGGCATTTGTAAACAAGGCATTACTCTTTTCAGTAGCCTCCCTAAGAATGCTATTGCCATGTGACATCTCCAACTACTACAGCATTTAACAGGGACTATTTGTACTCACCAAATGGTTTGCTTTTGTTTCTAGATCATATGCAAATGATAAAAGATTCACTTTCACAGGGTGTTTACCAGTCTGCAAAAGAGGTGTAAAAAACTATGTTAAGGATATGGGATTTTTAAACCTTAGCAACATCTAACAGGCAATATGGGCCCATAACTATAAAGTAATCAAGGTTAGAAACTCTTACATAGGTGACAACATCTGCATTCTTATCTATACATATAAAACTGTATTATTTTTATTCAATCATATTATTCAACCATAAAAAGGAATGAAGTACTGATACATGCTATAACATGGATAAACCACAAAAACATGCTAAGTTAAAGAAGCCAGACACAAAAAGTCACATATTATATGATTCCATTTATGTGGAATATCCAGAATAGGCAAATCTGTAGAAATAAAACAGAGATGGCTTGTTGCCAGGGTTTGGGGGAGGAGGGAATGGGGAGGAACTGCTGATCGGTGCAGCATTTCCTTTGGGATGATGAAAATGTTTTGGAACCAGAGGTGGTATTTGTGCTACATTGTGAATATGCTAAATGCCACTGAATTGCTCACTTTAAAATGGTTAGTTTTATATTATATGAATCTCATCTTAATAAAAATAAAAATAAAAAGAAATACACAAATCCAATGTTCTAATTCCCCCCCCCTCCAAAGATCAAGCATGGATACCTGAGACAAGTAGGTGGCATAATTTATTTTGTCTATTCCACAAGCAGCAAAATCTTCAAGGTTGGTTCTTCCTGCTGTGTCCAGCAAAACAATATTAAAATTTATGTTCAGATTTTCAAATTCATTGCTTATACTTTCAGTATGCTGCATGGAAAAAAGTTATAAATCAATACATTATTCTCCAAGAATGTCACAAACTTAATGCTTTAAAAGAGCCGTAACACTACACAGGACAAAAAGCCAAAAAACAAAAAAAACCACACATGCACTGGGCTGGCATCTCTGCCTGGTACTCTCCCCTCCTTCCTGCTCCTTCCCAAGGCAAGCACTCTTTGAGGAGGTAGGATGCAAAGCAGAATAAGATTCTGTCTCTGCCCTAAAAGACCTCAAAGGGCAGAGGCTGTGTCATAAGAGGGGCATGTGAACTGAACTGCCTCAGGACACCAGGGCCTTGGAAAGGCCTCCAGACAAGGGGACCTGGAAAGACAATACAGAGCCGGTGGCTTCTGAGCCCCCGGCCTTGACAAATAGAGGTGCTGAAAGGGACAGGGCAGGCTGGCATTCCAGGGAAGGGGCCAGCATGCATTAGAGCTGGATAGGAGGAAGACACAGGAGATATGATTTGGGGAACAGTGTTTAGTTATTTGGGAGAAGGTCATAGGAATGTGGTTGCTGATTCAGGGTTGTGCTGGCAGCATGGAGTGTCCTGGGCAGCACTCTGCAAACACTATCTACCATTGTGCCCAGAGAAAGTGACCCATGGCATGACGGGCATCTATTTCTATTACATAACACTATGGAAAACAGCATTTTATTTATGCACACGTAAGGAGTATTTAGGGAAGATAAATTCATACAAAATTCATGTACAGCTTTCAAATAAACCTCTTCACATTTGAAAACCATCAAGCCACCACGGTGTCACAGTGCTGCTGCCAGCCTTCTGTGATGCCTGCGTGGGTGAGCTGTGGGCCTTGGGAATAACCTCCTCCCTTGGCATCTGTTCTCATTCTGGAAGCCCAAAAGAAAGAGGACTCTCTAGATTGATTCTTCCTTGCACAGCTGAGGCCAGAAGCGGCCTGCAGGTGTGGGAGGTAGGGATGGTCCTAGGCTAACTGCTAGAGAGCGGCTGAATCTCTCTTGCCTTTCCTTTTGGCCACCATACTCTGGAACAGTCTTTCCTCAGAGTCTTTGGTTTTAGAGATGGGGTGTCACTATGTTGCCCAGACTGGCCTCGAGCTCCTGGCCTCAAGTGACCTCTCTGCATCGACCTCCAAAGTAGCTGGGACCACAGGTGTGAGCCACCATGCCTGGCTCCTTGGAGTGTTTAAACTCAAGACTGGGGTGTGGGCTCAGTCAAAGGACGAGAGGATGTCGTTCTATTCTATGTGCTTCCATCCTTTCTGTCTCTTGCCAGCAGAGCTCACCAGAGCCCACCCTGGAGTCCTAGGGCCACAGCATGATTCATAAGGGATGAGGACAATGTGGACCACATTTCTTTGTGCCAAATGTCTAATTCCAGGACCTGGCAGAAAGGAGGGATGGTCTTGGAGAGTGAACCTCCCTGGGGAACGAGTGGGGCTTGTTTGTATACGAACATCTACACTCAGCGAAATGACATCTTTCCCTGCGAAGTGTCTGCAGTGAGGCCCTTTTAGAGGCTCTTGCATATTCCACTCAAAAAGCTGAAGCTGCAAGAAAGACAACCGGTTGCAGGGTGAGAAAGTGTTTTGCAACTAGATAGAGGGGAGGGTTGCACAACCATGTGAACGCACTAATTTTCACTTTCAAATAGTTACTTTTATCTTATGTGAATTTCATCTCAATTTTTAAAAGAGAAAGAAAGATGACTGGATTTCGTAAAGAAATACTGTGTCGGTTCCATGACTGGTTCTAATTACTTGCCTCGTTAATGTTGAGATGTTTGCTGATATTGAAGCGATTCTCCAGATGAAGAGTGGCATAAACGCCTCTATTGTTCTTGCAGTCACTGTGGGAATAAACAGAGAAATCATGACGCAGAAAAGCAGCTACCTCTGTACACTGCTAAAGATGAAAAGAAAGAGTCACTGTTTCTTTGTTTAATCTGTGATCACAGAAGTAGATCTGGGTGTCCCCAGGGGCCACAGGCATCCTCACCTAGCACGCGCCACTCTCGACTTCTTTCCCCAATTTACTAATGGCCCATTTTTGGAAGAGATATAAGATTGATAAATATGTCCCTCTATCTGTCTCCTTTGTGCTGTTTCCAGTACGGCTGTGGACAAGTTTACAAATTGGGAAGAAATACATTCTCATTTTAAAAATACAAAATGATGTTTGCTAGAAAGAGATGTGCTACAAAGTATGTCTTGGGCTTTGCAGGAAAAATGCCTACACGACTGAACTAAGTAGGGTGGGCCTCATCGAATGCATATTCTGGCCACAAAGATAGCTACAGCCCTGAAGGTGGTGACTCTTCCTTGCTGCAGCAGTCAGAGCCCACCAGCCCTGACGGATGCCTGGGAGAAGCAACTTTCCCACACCCCAGGAGGTACGATACTTCCCTCCAGGGAACAAGTGGGTAGATCTTGTTGGAACTTAGAGTTTGGTGCACGTACAAACAGAGGTAAAACTGAAGAGTTCTTCAGGAGCCAGAATCATGAAGAGCTGGCATGCCAGGCCAAGAAGCTTGGCCTTGACCTCTCAGCCTAGGGGTGGCAGACAGGTTTAACCGTGCACAGAAGTGCCAATGGATTGCTAATATCTGCCTAGAGCACGCTGTCCAGGAGGAGCCTGAGGCTCCCTGTGCTAAGCAGAAGACCACAACTGATTGGCAATGTCTGCCATGAGTGCAGACAGGACAAACGTGCAACTCATCAGCTCTTTGCTAGAGGTCATGGGACCCCTTGGAATTTAGGCAAGAATTGACATTTGTCATTAAATCACATCACATTCCTGGATGTTTGGACGTTGGAATGGGAAGCAGGGAGAGAGGAGAAAGAGATGAATTTAAGAAGGATTTAGGAGGTAAAGTCTACAAATAACATTTATAATATTGGGTTTGGGACAAAAATTCATTCCAAGTGCTGCATCCAGAAGCTCAGTTTTCACCGCCGTGGGCTCAGTAATGGAAACAAGGACTTTTCTCTGTCCCTGTACTTTGTACTCAGCCTGAAAGTGAGAGTGGGATTCTAAAAACCTCTCAAAGGACAGGCTGCTGCCACCCACCTCCCTGCCTTTCCCTGTGCCCCTTGCTTGGCCTGGTTGCCTTTTTTAATTCTTCTTTGTCCAGCCAATCCCTACCAACAAGTTACGATCAGCTCAGGAGCCATTTCTCTCAGGAAGCCCTTCCTAATTCTTCCATTCCCAAGCTGCATGAGATGCCCTCCTTGGAGCTTCTACAGTAGCCTCAGTACATTTCTATCCCCCATAAGTATCGCCCCATTCTAGAACACTTCTTTATGGATCTATCTTCCCACTAAGTTTTCCAAAACAGTAGGACCACGGTCTAATTCAACTGTGTATAATATCTCAGGTATCCTTAGTCATTCAGGATCCTCATACAACAACAAAAGCAGCTGTTAACATGGTACATAGCTCATAGAATGTTATGGATGTTAAAGAAGTTTATACACACAGTGTTTCCATCAGTCTTGGCACACAGAAAGTACCACGTCGGTGCTAGCTCTTATAATTTTTTAAAATTACCATTCTTACTACATAGCATAGAAGTCGTTCATTGTATAACAGAAGCAAACAGTAACAACAGGTGGGTACAATATGTGTTGCTTTAGTGGTGCACTGAAGGCCCTGACTTCACCACAATGTAATATATCAATGTAAAAAAATTGTACTTGTACCCTATGAATATATACAAATAAAAAATAAATGGGTAAAAAACCCCAGTGATGACATAGCTGTATTTGTTTTAAAATAACTTCTGTGGGTCAGCTAGAAGAACAAATGACCATTTATTAATTAAATGCATGCATATTTGAAAATGTTTTAAAAAGTGCCAAAAAAAAAAAGAATCACAATGCCTAAAAGTCTATCTGACAACTCACAAAATGTTTAAGAAGTCTCTCGAGTGTCGAATGATGGCTAATACTACTAAGCTATATAATAATACCAGGCAGAGGCCTAATATTTGCTTAAACCTGCATAAAGAAACTCTAAGAGGGTAATAAGAACACTAAGGATGGTGGTTTCTGTGTAGAGGATGGGAAAGGCCCCAGGGCAGATGGGGACCTGTGTCTGCCACCTCTGAGACATTCTGCTCTCAATGTGAGTCACTATCACCCTGTGTATTTTCAGTTTCATTCACTAAGAACACACTGTGTTAATGCACACATTCTCTGGCCCTCTGGTCTCACCATGGGTAGAAATAAAAATGTCATCGGTGTTTAAAATGCATTCTGTGAATTGGTTTCAAATACTCTTAAAGTGACTTCCTTCCCCAGGGCTCAGAACAGACAGCTGCCTGTGGGTTCACACCGAAGATCAGACACCTAAGACCATAAACCATCAGACCAGGAGGCCTATTTCACCATCTGGCAAATGTGCATGATGCAAAGTGAGCAAAGAGTCACCCGAGATTTAGGAGGAAAGGAATATTATATACTGTTTGTGGGCTGCTTCAAAAGCTGAACTAAAGGGCAAAGAACTTCAATATTTCTTTGGGAGAAGCTTAAGCAAGAGAGAGACTGTCAGTTGCTCAGGAATCAGGGGCCAGCTCGGTCCCTGTCTTGATGGATGAGAGAGGGTGTGGGGGCCCAGGAGGGAATTCTCCCAGCATACAGAGGTCACCAGGCTCTTTCATGTGAGAACGTGCCTGTCTGGCTATTGGATCTTGAAACACACACACTTAATGGAGCTGAGAAGGACGCAGAGACGGGAAAGAAGGTGACCAAGGCAACGAGAAGAAAGCCACATGAGGGAAGACAGAACAAGACTCAGGCTATGCAGCCTGGAAGGGGATGTGCTAGGAAGGAACACGTTTCCAGGGGAAACAGCTCACCCTGCTGGGACCTCACCATGAAAGAGAGGGTGTCTCCCCTTCTTGGGAGGTGCAAAGGGGCAAATGACAGAAAGGTAAAAAAGGGTTTTCACTACACAGGAAAATAATCTGTGGCACATCACAAATGCATCAGGTAGGACCTTGAAAATTCAAGTAAGTTTTAAAACGTTTAGGGAAATCTGAGTATCAGATTTCCAAAGATATTAGTGCTAGGGGTTATATTACAATGTTCCGCCAGCATTCTTATGTGTCAAAGATGGGAAAATGCATGTAGATGAACAATCATAAAAACAGATACTATTTTATCAAGTTCTCATGCTATGTCAGGCACTGTTCTAATCTCATGTTTTTCACTTAACCCTAAAACAACCGCAGGGTGAGAATTCCTGTTACCGTGACCGCTACTGAATTGCACAAGGTGACAGAGCCTCCGGGAGCGGAGCCAGGATTGGAGCCCAGGAGACCTGACTGCACAGGTCAGCCCTTCGACAGGCATCGCTATTATCTTGTCGGTGATTTCAGCCTATTTGTGATTTGGACCCATTCACTTAATTCTTGTTATACGGCTTTTACTATGGGCAAGGTGGTTCTTGAACAATAGTTCTCACAGGGTCCCGTTAATTCATCTTAGGGCCACCTTAACCAGTGAGTCCCAGGCATTACTGGAGAGAGGGACCTCGAGACATCCCATTCTGAGGTCTCAAAGGCTTTCAGGGGAAGGATTGTCTTTTCGGTACCACTTCTACTATTTCTTTGCTACAACTAGAGAACAGCCTACCTCTGAAACCGGAAAGTCATATCATTAAGATTAAAAAACACATTGAAAGCAAAATTCTCATTCTGGAGAAAGAACATTTTAAGAAGCAAAATGCATAATGCAATTATCGATACCTGTAAACTTGTCCAAAAGTGAGCCTAATATCTGATTTATTAAATATGATGCCAGAGAGATAGTATTGCCAATTCTCATTTAGTAAATAGGGTGTGTCCAAAACCTAGAACAAATTAAAAAGCATTTTTAAAAAACAAAACAAAACACGGTTTTATACTAACATACATACATATAATAAAATGAATATTCTGTTAATATATATTTTTCAGATTTTTCTCATTGATCTTCAACTTACAACTAGAAAATAATAGTGTGATTGGGATAAATCAGTTGGCCACTGGATGGCATTAATAAGAATTATTGAAATTACTTTTTTTTGAGAACTGTTAACTTTATTTTAATAAGACAACATGTTAGAAAAAGGATGGAATAGACAATTTGATTCAGAATATCTAATATAAAGCCATGAAGCAGCAGACCCAGCTCTTCACTACTTGTCTCTGGACAAAATAAATTAAAACTCACACAGTCGCTGCCCCTGCACCATATATATTTAAGAGGGGTAAGTTAGTGCAAGCTGTGTATGTGTTTGAGAAGTATAAATGGTTTTAAAATATCCCCTACATTTTAAGAATTACCTTTTAAAGATTCAACCCCGTATGGGAGATTAAAAAACCTGGCTTGATGTCTTCTTATTATCTTTTGTCGAGAGACCAAATGCAGATAATTTATTTGACACATCGATGCTCTCAATTTAATCTCCTTCAACCAACTGAATAACTACTACGTTATTAAGTATGAAATGTCTGATTTCCTTAAGTACTAAGTTTAACAGTTGATATCTGACATTTCTTGGTTTTTTTTTTTTTTTCTTTTGGTGAAGGTACATCCTCATTCTTTCAAATGCACATTTTGGCTTGTGATTATCTTTCAAATGTTTTTTCATAGCAATTTTTGTGAAACCATGGATAAGTCAAAAATCTGTGTTATTTTTGAATATGAATTCTGTTGTGGAACCAAGGCTGAACAGACAGCTCAGAATATCAACGAAGTGTTTGGGAAGGGTGTGACTAATGAACGCACAGTACGTCGATGGTTTGAGAAGGTCCATTCTGGTGATTTTAATCTTGAAAATGAGCCACGTGGGTGACCCGAGACCAAGGTGGATAATGATGAACTGGAAGCAAATCCATCTCAACCTATGTATGAATCAGCAGCAAGGTTTGACGTTAGTATTCCAATAATATTGGTCCATTTGAAACAAATCAGCAAGGTAAAGAAGCTGGATAGATGGGTTCTGCATGAATTAAACGAGCATCAGAAGAGAAATAAGTCTCGAGGCTTGCCTTTCTTTGCTGTCACGACATAAAGGCAAACCATTTCTACATCGTATTGTTATTTGCGATGAAAAACGGATTCTTTTTGACAATCACAAGTGTTCGGCACAATGGTTGGATAAAGACAAAGTGCTGAAACACAGTCCAAAACCAAATATTCATCAAAAAAAAGCTAATGGTGTCTGTTTGGTGGTCCAGGGCTGGTATTATCCACTACAGGTTCATGAAACCTGGTCAATCAATTACAAGGGATGTCTACTACAACCAATTGGATGAAATGTTGAGGATGTTTTAAGCAGCTGCGATTGGTCAAGAGAGGCAGGCAAGATCACATGTCACAAAAAACAACGCTGTTCAAACTATAGAGGCTAGACTTGGAAACTCTCTGTCATCCACCGTATTCACCAGACCTTTCACCAACTGACTACCACTTCTTCCAGGCTTTGGACCACTTCTTGCAAGGAAAAATATTCAATTCTCAACAAGCTGTGGAAAATGCCTTTCATGATTTCATCACCACTTGCTCTCCAGGCTTCTTCGCTGCTGGCATAAACAAGCTACCGTTAAGCTGGCAACACTGTGTCAACAATTTAGGCACATACTTTGATTAATTCTATTGCTTCTTGTTTGAGGTATAATAAACTACACTTTTGATTCAAAATCAAACATTTCATATTTAATGACTTAATAAAATACCATGACAACAGCTGGTCACCTTAATAGTCATTCACCTGATTTCGTAACAGATTTGAGGTAGAAAATGTGTATATAATAGAAGAGGGAAATAGAAATATATTTTAAAAATCATAGCCTACGGAAAACCCCGAAAATCCAAAGTTAGAAGCCAGACACTTAGACTAAAACTTTCTCATTAATGAAGAAAGCAAAACTGCGAATGGCCCCTCAAGTTTATGGTAGTTGGCCTTAGAGGGAGAAAGTGAAGCTTGAATTCAACTCCTAACTGCCCTGTGGGACTGTCAGGGACAACCCTCTGCCGTGAGGCGTGCACTTTATCAGTTTCTTTCCCTTCAAATTTAGGGCCCAAATCGTCTGTCTGGACATCTTTGTAAAGTTCTGGGGCTCTCAACCACATTTGGAAACTACTGCTAAGGAGAATTTTATTCTCCCAGAATATTACAATCCACATTGATGAGTGGCCTTAATTCTTGGCATTGATTTCATTTACAATCAGAAAATAAGAATACTACCATATATATATAATTTTTTTTCTTTTTTTTCTTGCTCTTACAAAAAGAAAGTATCTCAACTTGTTGAATTTAAACCAAACTGCTCATCTGTTTGCACTGCTCTTGAAGCAATCCACAAGGTATGGGGAAATACAAGTTCTTGTTCAAGTCTCCCCTTAATGGGTAGAAAAACCATATTTACCTGGAATAACTTTCTGTTTGCATAAGATTCACAGATCAATTTTTCCACATTTGTACCAATGACAAAAGTCACAATCACAATGATCATCAATATCCAGCAAAAGAGGAAACTTAATCCAACCCCGCTGGAAAAGAATATAAATAAAGTTAGTAATTCTACAAGGAATGATTCAATATTACCTACCAGCACTTACTAAATCTACCTCTTCAATGTTTGAAATGGACCTGGAGTCGTCAGCATTTTGCAAGTTAAACAGTTCAGCCTACTCAGGGGTGAAGAGAGAAAGTGGTCAGCACGGTGACAAGTATGGAACCCTCGCAATGACGTAGTGCCTGGTCTACTTACCGTCTAGTACGATGGTCCAGAGCCTGGACTCTGGACTCAGGGGAATGAATCGATGCTTTGTGCAAAGGATACAGTGGGTGGGAGGTCCTCAGGCAGGAAATGTACCCCTGAGAGTCTGAAAGGGCCACCGTGGCTCTGCATCCACAGTGATGGTGGAAGAGTGACAGCACCTGCTCCAAGGCAGGCAGGGGTGTCCTGGATAGGGCCTCGGGGACCCCGGGGACCCAGGGAGGGGAAGACTCGAAGGAGCTGAAAACACAAGAGGAGCACAACTCGCTTTCTCTCTGAATAAGAACTTTGTTGGCATACTGTGAAGGATGTCTGGACAGGTGTCAAGGTGGGTGGGATGCCACTGCAAAGACTGTCATCATGGCCCCAATGGTGGCCTGATGAGGCGGAGGTGGCAGAGAAAGTCAGTGGATGACAGAGATATAACCCAGGAGGTGGCAGCAGCAGGACAAGGTGAAGAGCTGCATTTGAGAGGCAAAGGTCAGGAAGGCCCCCGAGAGCAAGGCCAGGGAGCACTGGTGCTCTGAAGAGGCAGAGAAGACGGGGCAGATGCTGGTCTTGTTGCCAGCAAGACATCGCATGGAGATACTGTGTAGGAGACAGATGTGTTTGAGCTCAGCTATCTGGGTTAGAGACATACATATGTTAATTAGCTTAGAAATGACCTCTTATCACTGGGCTGGCTTGGAGAGATGAGCAGCCTAGGACTGGGTCTAGAGGACTTCAACATTTAAAGAACAGGCGGCAGAAGGAGAGCCAGCTGACAAGATCAGGATGAGGAATCAGAGAAGTTGGATATGATGTCACCGAATGGGACAAAAGGAGTGTTTGCAGGAGGAAGAAGTAGTCAGCTGTCCCCATTGTACTGGAGAGAGGTCACTACTGACTTAAAACCAATGAAGTGACGGGGGAGGGAACCAAATTGGAGCGCACTGGGAAGCTGCTGGGAGATAGAGAGATGGGTGGCAGACACGTCACTCTACTGAGATGTCTCCTGTGCCGGGAGGAGAGGTAGAGACAAGACGTGCTGCTGCTCAAGGTTTTGTTTTTATCCGTAAAGAAGGGAGAGGACAGAACATGGCTAAGTGTTGAGAGGAAAGTCCAGGAGATAGGAAGAGAACAAAGACACAGGAGAGAGAAGGGATGACCCCCCCGCCATCCCTGGGATGGCTGGAATAGATGGGACTGAGGACTCGGCTGGTGGGATCGGCCTTTGAGGGGAGGAATCCCTCTGCTTCTGGAACTCAGAGAAGGGACGGATGTGTTTGAAAAAAGTCATGTTTGGAGGTTTGGGGATGGTAAGTTGTATGATGCCTTTTATTTTCTCTGTGAAGAAGGAGGTAAAGCCATCTGCTGAGACGGGGCAATAGAGAAAGAAGGATATATCAGAGTGCAGAAGCCCATGGCAGGAGAGTACAAGGGTGGCTTGTTGGAAAAAATAAAGAAAAGGAGGGAAGGAGAGAGAGGGGAGGGAAACGGAGGGTGGAGAGGACTTGGGCAAACTACAGCAGGTCCCTTTGAGGTGGGGGCTCATAAGTTTGTAGGGACACTCATTGTGCCCTGTTGTGTGACTTTTCTCTAGCAGTGTTCAGCGGTCCAGGTGCAGACACGGACAGGACAAACTCTTAAATCCATCTAGATGGAGTTGCCCAATCAAATGCCATTGCTGGTGCATGCTGGGAAGGCTGCTCCCAGTGTGTGGGCTGATGGGGTTCTCAGTAACCCCATCAGTAACCCCAGCAGTCTCTCCCACCCCGTGCAAACACCAAAAGTCAGAGTTACAAAATACTTGCATGTCTTCACGAAAACAAATAGCAAGATATGCTCACTGGAAGGGCCCTAGGTGACAGCTTTGAGTCTGGGAGAGCATGCAGAAGGGGATTTGAGCCAGGGCTTGCCAGGGTCATGGGTTGTGACTGTGCGCGTGCACGCACGACTGTATGTCAGAATCAGACACATCATAAGACCAGTGACGGTGAGTCTGAAAACAACTCCTTTACTCCAAATAACAGGTAACATCTCCAGCCTTTATTTCCTGAATAGGCACAGACCTAGATCAGGGTTAGGGAACCACTGCCCAAGGTCTGTTTTTCTAGTTTAGTGAGATAAGAACGGCTAACGTGTATTGAAAGTATTGTAAAGAAGGAGGAGAAGGAAAACAAAAACAAGATGGATCAAAAGAAGGTGAAGAAGAACTAGAAGAAAAATATTCAACAAAGACTGTATGTGGCCAGTGGAACCTAAAATATTGATTATCTGGCCCTTTGCAGAAAAAGCTTGCTGCCCCCTGGTCTGCATGGTTATAATAATATATGCATAATTTTCTAAACCCCTTTCAAATATATTATCTTAGAAACTTTTGTCAACAAACCAGGATAACCCAGTTATCACTTCAATGGCCACATGATCTTCCACGCGTGGACATACCATGACTCACTAGCCCACTCCTTTACACCTGGACACTTAGGCTATTCCCAGTGCTTCACGATTATAACTAAAACTGCAAAAGCACTTCCCTGCTCATGATGCTTTTTCCATAATTTGATCTACTTCTTTAACATAGTTCCAAAAAAAAAAAAAAAGGGAATTATTGGGCAAAGAACATTATGGACTTTTTACAGCCCTTGCTATAGCCTGACAAATTACTTTCTGTAACTTTGGAAAGTGCCACCAGCCATATACATGTGCCCAGTTCGTGACACCTGTGGCTGCTCTTGGCATCTTTTTCGAGAGCTAAAATGGGGGTTTCATAATGGGCTTCAATACAAGAGATTCTTGCTGTCCCTGTTAGATCCCCTTATCTCTAGGGAAACCTCCTGTGACCCCCTGCAACAGATAATAAATACTTTCACCACTGCATCATATTCAGCCCCTGAAATGTTCCTGGGGCCCTCAGAAGATAGAGGATCAGAGCAGAGCCAGGGCTCTCTGCTTTTCCTCCTTCCAGATCTTTCACTGGTATCATTTTGGGAGATAAGCATTCTTGCTTGATTTTCAAAGAGACCATCCTCTTGACTGGACTGCATCATCTTTTTAAAGAGGAATGGTGTTTTGGTTGCAGCAGCAAGTAAACAGTTTTAAAGAAGGAATTTCATTCTTCTAATTAGTCAGATCAGACTGGCTGTACTTATATAATCTCCCCCCTTTTGCAATTATCCAGTTTACCAGATGCCTCAAGAGGCAGAGAATTCTGCCAAGCACAGCAGAGCACACCATGCTGAGTGGTGAGGTTCACCAGTAAAGAAGTCATAGCCACCCCAAATCTACAGACCAGCTGAAATGCATCTGACCACATCTGACAGTTGCCAGCCTTCTTCCTACTGCTGAGATAAACCCTATTTCCTCCCAGCCATGGCTTCCCATGTTTGCAGAAGCATCATATCTAAACTGAAGTGGCTTTTAGCCTCCATTAATTTGTTGATGACTTTCCCGGTTATTTTTTCTCTGAAGCTATACATCACATTTTTCGGTTGTATCCCTTTGAAAAGTGTGAATAGAATTGTGATGAAGGATGTACCTTTTCAGAGCAATTTATTCCACCCTTCAAGCAGTTAAAAAGATAGAATATATATACACACACACTCACCACTAAAACACTGACAAAACAGCCAAGTATTAGGGGTGTTAAATTCTTAACATTAAACTAATTTTCTACCTGTATGTGTGTATGTTTGAACAAAAAGGCAAGACAAATTCATTTTTCCTTGTTGGTGTGATTTCTTCTTTTTTTCTTTCTTCCCTGTGCGGAGGTACTTGCAGTTAAGTGTAATTTCTTAAGTTTAGGCCTGTGAGCAAATAGGCTTCTCCACGTGTGGACGTCTTTGGTCAGCCCTGGCAGACTCCAGGCCATTCCTTCTAGGGCTATTTTTAAGACTCTTGTGCCTGAATTAATGTGAATAAAGCCATCTACTATATTGGAGCCTAATTGTTTCAGGGAAAGGACTTAGAATACAGCTCATAAGAAATATGATTAATTGTTATAGTGACCCAGAGTTTAAAGAGCAGATTAATGCAAGCCACCTGCTCTCTGGCTGCTCAGTACTAGTGACACGGGTAGATAATGAGAGCAAGTGGCTGAGGTTTGGGTTCTCCCCTCCCCAGAGGAGTTGTTTCAAATCTTTACCATTGCTCTCAAGCCCATCACACGCCTTACCACGGATTCCCAAGGAGCTCATCCAAAAAGAGAGCACCGTTTTGGAGCACTGAAAGCCATTACACCTGCATCCTAGCTTACCTTTCTGGCCTGGCTGGGTCGCTCCTGGGTCATGCCTGCTGCGATTTTCACACCCTGCTAGAGTAAAGGTTTTCTCACACACATGAACTTGGAGGTGAATGTTTCTGAAGCAGGAACAAGAGCTCTAGTTTGCTGGAGGCTTACCTGTCCCTGGTGCCTCACACCTGTTCTCTTCCCTAATCTAGGCTACTTGTCTAAATTCCAAGGGTGCTGGGTTGCCAACCTCTGCTTTAAATCAAGTTTCTAGAGTTTCAAGCAAGCAGTACTGCTGACCATATAGCACAGTGCCTGACAAGGGTTCAGCTCAGCATCTGGTGAATGAATGAATGAATAAATGAATAAAAACAGAATCAAGAAAGCTAACCTAGAAGAGAGAATTTCCATGATAGGTGCTTTTAAAAGGAGCCTGCCATACATAAACAGTGTGTTTAAGCTTGTCTATCAAAGTGCAATCAATTTATAGTTTTATTTTTTGTGCTTGATGAAAGTACCAAAATCAAGGAAGATATAATCACAGCAAAACCTCTCCTGTGCTAGAACCCAGAGTGTGTGGCCCCGAGGGCTCCAGGTTCGTGTATGACCAGAGTCAGCACCTGGTGTCCTCCCTGCATTTCCGCCCCCAGCGTGACAAAGAGCAGCCCACACTCACACCATGAGGAAGACGCCGCCAGTGTGTGAGATGCAGCCTCTCCTGGTCGGGGTAGCCTGCCTGTCGTAGCCACACACGCCACACAGTAAGCCCAGGTAATAGAAAATCACGATGAGGGTGAGCAAAGAGCAGATGACCAAGCCACCCAGCCACCTGGTGAAGCAAGCACAGAGTTATTACACACAAAACATCATAACACAAAAACTGTTGGACTAAGACTGGAGCAGGTGAGTAATTCTTAGTTGTCCAGTATTAGAGGCCTCTGTTAATTCCTCAGATGGTGATATTGCTGTATGAAAATATCCCTTCCCACCCTTAGTCCCCCAATTCAACAAACTGAGAAACTTTTATTTTTATCTTTGCTTTGAGGTGCTCTCTCAGTGGTCGGCGGTTGTGGGATTACTGCTTCTTTCCTTCGCCTTTACTTCCAAAGGTGTCACGTGGGACTCGTAAACGGATCTTACTGCGCTTCTCCAAGGTTACTGATAAAAATACGCCTAAGACTTTTAAGTTCTTTCAAGGGTCCTGATGCTGTAAGTGCCTATTACAATGATGATGGCATGTGGGTAGATCACGGTTAGACTACAGGTACGGAAACATTGGACTCTCTTCCCTGGCCTTTCTCTGAACTATTGTACGGTTGCAGGAATATTTGGGGCTATTGGGCTCTTTACTGAACTAGAAACACTCTACGTGGCAGATACATGGAGTATTTAGAATTTTATGAGCATCCTAAATCGAATGCCTGCAGAATGCAAATCTCCATTTCATAATGGTCCTGAGAGACATTTTAGGACAAGGAATCCTCAATTAGGTCTTACTGGCATTCCCGGAACATACAACAACCTTTCCCGGCAGTGAGGAGCATTCAAGGTTAGTAATGCTTCCCAACACTGAAGACACTAAAAACCAAAGAATTTACTTCTGCTTGGTGCCTCTTGACAAAAGTCGCCACTAAAGCTTTTCATTCAATTAAGAGCAATCTTGGTAATTATAATAATAGCCACCAGCAGCCACTCTGCGGAGATTTGTTCCAGACACTGAGGACACAAAATTAAATAAGCCATGGAGTCTGGCCTCAGAAAACTTTTAGAGTTAAAGAATCATCTGCTTAGTTAAGTTTCTTTTTAAAATATGCTTGTCGTCTCAGGGCAGTGGGAGGAGGAGGGGAGATGGGTGGCAGACAGGTAGACAGACAACTATACTATTCTTTCTCATTTGTGTAACTCTTATCTCTAATGAGATTGTGAGCTCATTGAGGAAAGGGTCTGTCTTATGTTTGTCCTGAGACCTGCTGGGGTGACCTGGCCCCATGGTAGAAACATGGCAGGTGCCCCTTGAAGCTTGTTGATTAAAGGACAATGACTCAGAGCAGAGCCAGATGGGGTTTCAAAACCCACCTCTGCCATATTCTAGCTGGCCTTACATTAGTTACTTCTCTTCTCTGAGCCCCAATTTCCTTTTCTATAAAACAGGGTTATGAATGGAACACAACTAAGGGATTTTTGTGAGTATTAAAGGAAATGTCCTGTGGAAAGTGCTTGGTGAACACACTGAAACTGTCCCCTAAATGCCAGCAATTGTTGTTATTATTTTATTATTTATCTCATGATCTTTTATAAGAAATAACCCAAATAAGAGTGAGTCTCTGGACTCCCCCAGGGGATTGGGCTTGAGCCTGGGCAGTGTGAGTGGTTCTAGTGACAGGTCATGGGGCTGAGCCCTTCGCAGAGGAAAGTGTTTCCTACATCTCAGACGATCATCTAAATATTCTGAGCCCTCAAGTCCTTCCATCTCCAATGCTCTGGTAGGAGTGTCCACCGTCCCATCCCAGGGCCAAACCCCACCACCCGTATCATCTAACGGGGTGAACAAACACTGGACACAACAGCTGCTCACCTAAGCTCTGGGGGCAATTTTCTGGTTTCGAGTCTCAGCTAAGAGGATGTTTTTTCTATAAGAACCGGCTTCTAGGTATTTATTTTATAAACCAATGCAAAAAGAATATTTCCTCAAATTATAAATTATTGAATATTTGGCTCAAGAACTTCCAGTCTTCAACTTTCTTTTTTTTCAATACAGAACGCTTCACAAATTCACATGTTATCCTTTCACAAGGGTCATGCTAAACTTCTCTGTATCATTCCAATTTTAGTGTATGTGCTGCTTTGCCTGAGCAAGCACTTCAACTCTTTTAGTGAACATAAACCTGGGTTGCCACATATCAGGTCATGAACTCTTTGTACAATTTGCTCTCATAAGACTATCATGGTGGCAATGTCAGATTTGTATCCCGTTCCCTACCAACATCCACTCTCCCAGTATGAGCTCAAAGGAGGCACACACCAGTACGAATCGTATTCTTCCAATGTGTGTAAACTGCGGTGGATGCGACTTTCGGTGTTGTTAATATGAACAGCAAACTTTGACAGCGTACTCTCAATAGGAATCTGTTGGGTTACATCATCGACACTTGAACCGATGGAATTCAAGATGCTTTTGACATCTGCAAACAAAGGTACCTCGGTTATGCATTTGCAAAAATGGAGGAAACAAAAACTTTGTTTTAGAACCAAACAGAAAAGCCTGGACCACTCTTAGTTGTTCCCATGTTATGTATGTGTTTAAAATACGACATTTCTACAACAAGCATGAATATAGCCAAGACCATCAAAGAGCAATTATTTAACAAAACAGCAAGCTGTGAAGTGCTGACTTTGATGAGATGGTGCTGCAGGCAAGCCAGACTTTTCTCCTACTTACGTCACTGGAAAAATGGGTCTGGTGATTAAAGCGTACAGTGTATGGATAATGTGCCAGGCACGGCTATGAACATTAGTGCATTTGTTCTGTGGTGGTAGACATTCTTATCCCCACATTACTAACCGTGATCCTGAGGCTCCATGAAGTGAAATTACTTGCCTGTAGGTCTCTTTTTCAGAAAGCAAAGGTAAGGGGATGGACACTCGGGTGTGTCTAACACGAAAGCCCCCGTTACGTGAGTTTGGAAAAATAATTTAATAATCATAATAACTCTTCCATCTAAGAAACTGCATTCAGGAATGCAGTGATTCTCCGGGACCATTTTTTGAACAAGTGACCCCAGGTGATATTTTTGTTAACATTTTACTTAACTCACACACATTGGGACTTAATTAACGAAGTATATCTGTGTCTCCTAGGTGCAAAAAGCAATAGTATTCCCAGTGGTCAAACAGTCTCTATTGATGTCCACCCTGATTTCTCAGAGAGGAGATAAACTCAGAGAAACTCCAGTTTTCTGGAAAGTGTCCAGCAAGATCCTAGATCGGTGCTCGCATGAGTTCTGAAGTTGGCTTTATCCACAGTGATTCTTGACACAGACACACTAAGAACATACAAATCAGTTAAAAACCCACTGATTCTGAAAGAGAGATAAATCTCTTTGTAGCGGCAGAGACAAGATGAACATTTCTCAAAATGTGATCCTGGGACTCCCGGAGAACTCCAGGCAGACGGTATAGATGGTAGCACGGTCCAAAATGTAATTACGTAAAAACAGTGGGAACCTTTTTAAAAGTGTTTTTTTCACCTATGTACAACATCTAGAAATGAAAGCCACAGAAATGAGCAACTAAGCATCAGACATTTGGACGTGGCTCAAAAAGAGGCGACTGTTACTCCACGGTGGCTCGTTGCTACCTCCAAATGGCTTGTGTGCGGAAATAGCCGAGGATCCCCGACCAGGATGCCCCAGTGGGCCTTTTTTTAACTCTGGGATTTTTGAAAGATGTGATACTTAGACTCCCATCTCCTAGGAACAGTTCCTGGGGCCCTGTCTGCTTCTCGGCCTATCTCTCCCTCAAGTAGGACACACCTTCCCCGCCGGACCAGCTTTGGCGACGCTGTATTTAGCTGGGGTTCTCTCTCAGCAAATACTCTCCTCGGCCTCAGTTTAGATGTCCCCTTTTCTGGGCAGCCTTCCACTAGCCTCTCCCGACCTGGGTTCCCTTGCACATACCCGGCCGTGGTACCAGAGTGTGATGACGGGCTGTGTGTACGTGCCCTGCTGAAGGACAGGCAGGGCTCGGGCCTGATGCACCTCACAGCCCAGCGTCTAGCAGAGCCTGGCAGAGTCTGCACTACAAAACGTGTTCAGGCTGGGAACAAATGACCAAAGCATGGGAGCTAAGGACGTGAAAATAAACACCGGCTCTCCAGGCTGATGGAGTGGCAGTAGCCGGGCCCTAGGAAAATGCCGGCTCGTGTTCAGGCAATGACACCGCGCGCAATGGACCTTGCTCACGCACTCTGGGCGCTCGCCAGACTTACGGGGGAGGGCTGCACGTGTGGGCAGGAGAGGCCCAGGGAGGGGAAACCAAGAAACACAGAGATTAGTGAGCAGGTGGCTGTCAGATGTACAGCATGCATTAGCCTTCAGATGTTAGCATAAAAAGTGTGAACTCTGTCTTTATTATCTTAACATTTTAAAGTAGAATCTTCTATTAAACAAAAGGGAAGCCACAAAACATCTAAAACACTATGTAGTAGGATGATATACTTTTTACCTAAACTCTTTATGAGTTAAAAGAATACCATTAAGGGAAAAAAAAAACCAAATATCTCTAACACAATATTTTAAAACCACTTGGTCAACAGATAAAAAGAAGCACGAAATTTATTTTTTCAAATCGAAGATAGTTTTACATAGCTTCAAAGATTTCTTCTCCAGGCAAATGAATAACCCCGGTTCGTGCCCATCCCTGCACAAAGAACTGCGTACACCGCGTCCCCTCTCTCTGCATCGCCACAAGTACCACGACCTCAGTGCAGCACAGTGCAATGATTTAAGACCAGTAGAACCTTCTCAACATTGAATCTGTCTCTCTAACATTATATGCAACCTTAGAAGCCTAAAATACTATGACATTAGCATCCCCAGAGGACAAATGAAAATCATCCTAAAAGACAAAATAAATCTTTAAACATAGTATTCCTAAAAGAAAACCAAAGACATAAACGTTGAGTTTGTTTAGAGAATAGAATAATCTACAGTTTTGGCCCAGTCAAAACAATCAGAGCGTGACCTTCCAAACTGTGGCTGTTGTCCTGTCTGTGAGCACACACTGGAGACTTGTCACCACCTGGTGGCCCTCAGCCGTGTGGCGCTGGCAGGCTGGCTGATGCCCGTAAGTGGTCAATGGGAGGGTTGGTTTTTTTTCTTTTAATCTGTATCACTGACTACAGGTGACACAAATGAAAAGCTCTGATATTTAGTTTTCAAAGTTTTAGTGAGAGACTGTTTTTTAGGAGGAAAAGAAAAATACAGTTCTTAACATTACCTTTCTTTGTACTGACTGTCCAATTCTTAACAAAGATTTAAAAAATTACCTCCAATTATGAATCTCACCTGCAACGATGTTCTTGGTTTGGTGTTGTACTCTCTTAGGTATATCATTAAAGGACTGATAGCCCTAAAAAATATTTCAAAATAAATTGATGTACACAGTAAGTTGAAGACCAGTTGACTACTGCCCATTTTGCAAGGTAATACATAGTAGAGAAGGAAAATAAATATATAACATCCATCTTATAGCTAAAGTTATCATTATATGGTCATTAAGAGGCTAAAAAAATCCCCTTTAAAGAGCATTTTCTTTACATTGTACCAATTGAAAACTATGTTAAAAGTTTTTCACATAGAATGCCCCCATAATTTTAAAATCAACATATTTACTCATAGAGATCCTAGGAATTATTATGGATACATATATCCATACCACTGGTTTTCAAGTGGGGGCTATTTTGTCTTTCAGGGGACACTTGGCGATGTCTGGAGACATTTTGGTTATCACAATTGGGGGGCGCTACTGGCACTGCGTGGGTAGAGGTCAGGGATGCTAATAAATACCCTACAATGCACAGACGAGCCCCAGCACAAAGAGTTACCCAGCACGAAGCGTCCACAGTGCTGAGGTTAAGAAACCCTGATCTGTATAATATACTATGTGCAGATAGAAAGCGAATTCCCCAAAATGGAGTATAACTTTCCAATTACAAAATAAAATTAGAGATCTAGTCTCACAGAAAAAGAAATAATGTTCTAAAACAGTTTATAGAGGATACAAATTGTAGTGAGGCTAAAAAAAACCAAAAACAAAAACAACCATGCCAAGCCATATGGCTTTGGGGCTAAGTCCATAGAAGGAAAATATCATTATTTCCAAAGAACTCAACTAAACGTCCAGCCTCTCCTCTGGAAGGAGTCAGTTTGGGTGTCTTCACTGTCTGCTAGGGAACTCTATAGCGCTTGCAACCTTCCTAAGATTTATGGTGCCAGCTGGTTTGCACGTTAGCCTGACTACGTCACATGCGGTGAGAAGAACATCTACGACTTCTACTTCCTCCAGCATGACTGAGCCACCCAGCACACCTGTGCTTGTGTGGTTTTCTGCATGCCCAACCCCTTTACATGTATCTGCGTTGCAACTTGCAGATGTCACCCATCCTGGGGAAGTTTCATGGCCTTACAGAACTCCTGTTTCAATTCCTTCCTTTGACAAACAAGGTGACACCAAAGAGTGCAAAGACCAAGGATTTCGAGTGACCTGTTTAAGGGGACACTTTGTCAGTATATGTAGATGAGTGTTTGACAGATAGTAGAGATTTTTTTCACATCCACACTAAAAGACATAGAGTCAAGAATAAAACTATTCTCTCCCTTTCCTACAGGTCCAGAGCACTCTAATGAATTATAATGTATAAAGAAATATTTCTTGTGCACTCAATACCTATTGGTTGAATACATAGCAACGATTGGTAAGCTGCTAGGAAAATCATGGTATTCCAGACCAATCTTGTCCCAGCCTTTTTGGGAATTTATAGTCCAGTGGGGGAACAGAGACATTAAAGAAATAATTACAGTTACGAGGAACTTAACAGAGAATATTTGCAATGCTGTAAGAATGTATTAAAAAGGGTTTTGACCTAGTCAAGATGTCCAGGAAAGGCCTGTTAAGAAGATAATATATGAATCTTAAAAAATGAAGTAGCTAGGCAAAGGTAGGAGAGAAAGAAGACAGTGCCAGGCATACAGCAAATGCAAATTACGGAAGTGGGAAGGAACAAAAATAAAACCAGCAGGGCTGACACTGGCAGAGGGGGCAGCATTTTGTATCAGAATCTGTGCGGGGTCCAGCACGACACCCACTAAATTCTGAGCCCCAGGAAAGCAGAGGTCAGGGGTTTTTTTTTTTTTTTTTTTGATCTCTTATGGTCTTAGCATGGTGCTTTGCACATAATAGGTGCCTAACAAAAATTTCTTAAGTTAGAATGAACAAAATTACCTGGAAGGTAACAACTATCACCCTTCTTGGCAACCCCTTTCCAGAATTGCACTGCTTTTTTGCTGTTTTCTATTTTCTTACATACTAGTTTACCTTTTAAAATGATATAAAATACGCTACTGCATTTAAAAAACAAAAAACAGAAAAAAAACATACCTTTTGGACCAGACCATCCAAATCGGTTCTAAGAACATTATTAACATTGTTAAGTTCTCTGTCCACAGGTGGAAGCTGAAAATTTACAGAACAAAATATAAGGCAAGGTGGTCCCCCCAAAACTGTTCCTCATGAAAAACGGAGTCATCTTATATATAAGTCCCAAAGTATCTAGATTATAGAGTTCAATCTCAATTTCTTTTGAACAATATTATCTGGGGAAAACACATTTAGCTCAGAATGGCCTCTAGAAGCACCAATTTTTAGATGTCTGGAGGTCTTCTGCTGCCATCAAATTTAACACAGATGTATTATGTGTGACCTTAACAATTTTCAGTACTAAAGACTGTTAAAGTTGTAAGCGAAACTTTTAAAGTCACTTTTAAAAGCAGCAGCATGGTCAGGGTTATGCTGGTGAGCAATCTGGAATACATTTTTCCATTACAGCGTCATATTACACATGGATTTGAAGTGCTCTAGCTCTTACCAATGTTATATGTCCTAATTTTGATAATTGTATAGTGATTATGTAAGGTTGGGAAATGCACTAATATACTTAGGGGTAAAGGAGCATGATGTCTACAACTTATCCCCAACTTATCTTTTGATAAAAGAACAAAATGTGTATTATTTTGTGTGTATATATGATATGAATAGATAAACCAACAAAATGATATGGTAAAGCAAAATGTTGACACTTGGAGACTTCTCCGCATGTTCGAAAGAACACTAAAATAAAAAGTTGTGCCCAGAAAGGATCTATCTCAAACAACTTAAACACAGCTAAGCTCTAAAAAACTGTTTGATGACTCCAAAAATAATTGTGTTAGATATGCAGACACACATGTTGCATGTGAGATGTTTGAAAAAAATTGACTCAGGAAATGTGGAAGTGAGAAAAAGCGTATCTATAGTAAAAGATTATTTTATATAAAATGTGAAGTATATACGTAACTAAATTAATAAATTAAATATCATGAATAGACATGATCATTTTGTCTGTATCTTAGAACTTTATATATTCAAGTTACCGCAAATTCTTTCTTTTTTAATCTTTTCTTTAGGAAAATGGGGGAATTCTCTTCTATTTCAGTAATACATGGTTAATATACTAGGCACACCATTAAAAAACATATTTTAATTTTTAAAGCTATACATGAATGTATTCTGCTTCCTTTATTACTTTTTTTTCCTGAGACAGAGTCTTGCTCTGTTATCCAAGATAGAGTGCAGTGGCATCATCATAAATCACTGCAACCCTGAACTCCTGGGCTCAAGCAATTCTCCTGCCTCAGTCTCTCGAGTAGGTGGGACTACAGGCACGCACCACCATGCCCGGCTAATTTTTTTATTTTTGGTAGAGATGGGGTCTCTCTTGTTGCCCAGGCTGGTCTCAAACTCCTGGCCTCAAGCAATCCTCCCACCTTGGCCTCCCAAAGTACTAGGATTACAGGCACGAGCACTGCACTGGGCCCCTTTTTTCTTTTTAAGGCTGAATTCATTCTGATACGTTTCATCAAATGGCAGAGAACTCCCAAGAAGGGGCTCCCCTTTACTCTTTCACTCCTGCTGCGGTCATTCCAAGATGTGACTGATGACCCAGGAAGGCTGATAGAAGCCTGGGGCTTACGGCTCTCCAAACCAGGCCACTGTGCACCAGACAGGTCCACCCCCTCTTAGCCCTGCCCAGCTGCCCCCAAGCTCACGGCCGCTCACCTGACTCAGGTCGAGGTTGCCCTCCAGCTGGCTCAGAGATGTTCTGATGCTGTTGCAGGTTTCACTTGCTGGGTGCACAGAGCACGTGGGGTCGCTGAGTGACCTCTGAATGCTAGCTTTCACGTCGGTCAGGTTGCTGCTAAGCTGTGCAGTTCCGTCGCGCAGGCTCTGCAAGCTGCCTTTCGTGCTCTCCAGGGCCTTTTTGGTCTCTTTGATCACTGTGGGAACAGAGCCTATTTCAGAGCAGAGGCACTGAGGCCCCTCTGAGCTACCGAAGTGGCCTAACGGAACTGGACCTGAGCCCGTCAACCACTGTGGATGGCAGGCCGAGGAGCCCGCCGTGAGGGGCACTGTAAGAGGGCAATGCTGGGGCAGCGCAGGCACCGCTGCCAGACACTCCAACAGCTCACCTCTCCAGCTTCTTCACGCAAGAAGCAGGGGCAAGCAGCACCCCAGGAAGGTGACGGGACACCTCGGCACAGCACTAACTGGACAGTCACGGCCGGCGAAGGTGCCGCCGCCCAGCCTTGAAGAGGTCAGTGCAAACGAGTCAACCCCGAGCAGTTTAAATCCACATAAATTTTGATGACACCCAGACATATTTTAGCTATGAATATTCAAAGAGTTGGAAGTAAACCTAACACAGCGGTTAAGAGCACCGTTTTAGATTCAGGCAGGTCTAGGCACAGATCCCAGCTTCACTACTTGCTGCGTGATAGATTTCCTGAATCTCTCTGAGCCAATTTCCTCATGTGAAAGTGCTGAAACCACAACCACATTCATCACAAATTGGGGCGATTAGACCCATTGGATTCAAATTCCTCAAAGGTAGTGAGTCTATGTGTTTTATTTTGGGAGCCCCACAGCCCAGGATATATTCTCATACAGAGGGTCTCCAACTTACGATTGTTCACCTTTATGATGGTGGCAAGCAATATGCATTCAGTAGAAACCATACTTTGCATTTTGAATTTTGATCTTTTCCTGGGCTAGCAACAAATAGTACAATAACCCCCACAAGATGCTGGCCAGCTGCAGTGAACTGCAGCTTCCCGTCAGCCGCAGATCACAAGGGCAACCAGGATACTCTGCCGTGTATTCAACATGCTTCAAGTTAGGATGTTTTCAATTCGCCATGAGTTCACTGGGACATACGAAATCCCCTTGAGTAAGCCAAGGAACATGTGTACTAGGAGATCCTGAATAATTGTTTGCTATCCTGATTTCTCGGCGGGGATGGCACCCTACACGTACAACTAAGGAAGCAGTGAATTACAACTCTTTTCTACGGTGGCTTAAAGCCACAGCAGTAAAAGATGTGAAATTTAAATTAGAGGGCATTGCTCTTCTTCTAAACAAGTAAGTCTTCCCGATCAGGAAGACTTTTCGCTCTGTGGCTCACAAAATAGACGGCAGAGCATTAAGCCACAATTGAGTGTTTCAGAGAAAAGTGTGAATGCCCTTAACAACTGGTTTTCCCATCCTTCCCTGGCAGCCACATAAGACCTGAGTGTTAAAACCACACACACACACACACACACACACACACACACACACACACACACACACATATATAGATGCTTCCATACCATGGAATCTCACCAAAAGTAGCCTGAGGTCTCATCCCAGTTCTTCTTCTACCTTGCTATAGCATCTTTGGCAAACTCTTTCACCTCTCAAAACCTCAGTTTCCTCATCTGTAAATTAGGGAGCAAATTGGGTCATCTCCCAGTTACTAGGAGAGCCTGTGATGGTAGGCTGCATCCTAAGTGCTCATGAGGCTGAGCTCTTAGGAGATGGGGTCCCCAGTTAACTAGGTCTGATGAGGAACTGCAACCAGAGACCTGGGGAGGCTTCCAGAAATGTACTGTATGCTCCTTGGTCTCAAATTCTATCACCTTACCCAAATAGAAAATCTTCAAATCTGCGCCAAACAGTATTTTCTCTTGAATTTCAGTTCAATGAATGCTTAACACTATTCAAGACTGCGATAATATTTAGGACTATCAAAGAGTACTCTAGGCATCCATTTCTCGTCTCTCCCACCTGCCTCCAAGCATTACCAGCAAAGCATGAAGCCCGGTACCTGGCTCACAGGTACCTGACTCAATAAATATTAACCACAGCAAAACAGAAACAAAGAACTCAGCTGCAACCAGAAACATACGGCAGATTGCAAATGAGCATGCTGAAATACACCTCACATGTTAACATTTTGTGGTTTACCCCATAGCCCTTTCCACTTTGAGTTCAAGATAAGTTCTTTTAGGGTAAGAAACAACAACAACAAAGAAAGACAGATGATAAAATAAACTGATGGCCCAGGAAATGTGTGTGTCTTTCAGCACCATCCATAGACATTTTGGGTTACAGGTAATATTCTGTCATGTCCCAGGAAAGACTCAGAAGTAATAAATATATATTTTCCAAAAGCTTCAAACCATTTTATACCTATGAAATATTAACTAGGTTATAACTCTGGGAGTCATTCCAGGCATACCAAGGTCACATATATTATGTATCTGAGGGAAGTGGAAATGATATTTCAGATTTTCAATTTTAGTTAATTAACATTTTACCAGCCCATAGCATATTTCCTTTATAGGTCCTGACCTGCAGCCCAAATATGATTTGCACATAAAAATTTGTAGCTTTCTCCATTTTCCAAAGTCCACTAAACACATTAGCCTGTCAAGTATTTTTAGAAAAACATTTGCTCATGCTGTTTATTAAGCATGTTTTAAGATGTTCTGGCAACACCAGAAGCTAAACTTTAACTTATTTGGGCTGACTTTTAAAACAAAAGAATTATAATAATAACATAGGAAGCACTGAAGAGAAAAATAACATCTGTTTTAATTGTATTTTATCTAAAAAGCACTATAATTCGATTATTAAAAATTGTGGAAGTATTGGGCAAAAAGTAAAGGCATACACCAACCACACTGCATTATTCATATGATTTTGCACAGCTTTATAGTTATGTAATTTGGGGACTGCAGGTGATCTTGGAAGACTGACATTCCGGATGTGCTGACGCATGATGGATGGGGGTGCGGGGATGCCTGGCATCATCTCGTGGCCACACCAGCACCTGAACCCCAGATTCCCAACTCTTCCTCCAAAGGTACACTATGTTGACTTCCCGTGGATGCCACAGGGGCATCCTACATCTTAACATTCCCAAGTGTACTGAATCCCGTATGGGATGGTACAGGGAGCACAGGCTTTTGTTAGACCAGGTCTGAATCCCAAATCCACTACTTCCCAGCTACCAGTTGTATGGACTGAAGTGCATCCCCCCAAATTCATATGTTGAAGCCCTTAGACTATATTTGGAGACAGAAACTTGAGGGAGATAATTAAGAGGAAATAAGGTCATAAGGGTGGGGCCCTAATCCGGCAGAACTGGTATCCTTAGAAGAAGAGGAAGAGAACAGCGATGAGTGTCCAAGATGGAGAGTGAGACTGGAATGACAAGCGAGGGCCAGGCGTGGAAGGAAGGGAGGGAGGAAGAACAGAGGAAGGGAAGGAGAAGCTACATAGAAAAAGCTAGAATAGAAAGGCAGGAGGCAATGGTCTATGAGGTCACATCCCTTCTCTGGGCCTCAGTTTCCTTGGCTGGAAAGGAAACGGTTGATGAGGAAGAGAACGGATGTCTGGAGACATCCAGGCATCAACATCAGAGGACCCACCTTCAGATTCTGGCTGGACCCTTTGCAGGGTCAAGGACAGAGGCAAGGAAAGGCCTTTTCAATTAGTAAAGACTAATTGTAAGAACTCCTGGCCTGTTCTGCCCATCCTCCTGTTCCTGTACATTCATCTGAGGTGTTGAACTATAAGAATGCCAAAAGGGATGGGCATAATTTTCCAACTTCCTTGCAGTTCCCTCCTTTACGTCCTATTTTCTCAGGAATGCTAGCTCATGAAAGTAAAATTCTTATTGGCAAAATGACAAATGTTTTACATAGATGACATTGTCCTCTCCATCAAGTGCCTAGCACAGACATTTTTCTCAACATTTGGAAGGGCCTGGGAGGTCTTTTCTCATTGTGGTAGAATATGCAGTTTATTAAAATCAGTATATCTGCTCACTTATATCACTGACCATGGTGGCTTAAGGTATGTATGTATATATCTTGTTTCTAAAAGTTGTTCTTCTTGGGGGAAAAGGGAAAAAGTAATTAATGGACCTTGAAAGATCTAAACTTCAACAGAGTACTCATCTTTTATACTAAGGGTCGACAAATTTTTTCTACAAAAGGTAAAACAGTAAGTATTTTAGGTTTTGCAGGCCATACCATCTCTGTGGCAACTACTCAACACTGCTATCATGGCATGAAAGCAGCCATAGGTGATACCCAAACAAATATGCATGGCTATGTTCCAATAAAACTTTATTTAAAAAAACAGGTGGTGGGCCCTTACCAAATCCCACCATTATAATCTCAAATGACTTTTAGATCATCAGTACAATAGCTTTGGCACAAGCTTTAAAAAAAGCAAAACCAACCTATTGTGACACGATGTGTCTGGACCTGGCCTGTTTGCATGGCCTCAGACAGTGGCTGTCCCCACAGCCAGCCCTTAGGGAAACAAGAAAAGAGTGAGTGAATCTGCAAGGCCCAGGGGCTCCTGGATGGAACAGGCTCCCGTCGTATCTGCCACACTGCTCACCTGTCACCATGGATTTAATCTCATCAAGAACAGGGATCACGCTGGGTCTTAGTCGTTCATGAATTCCACCTCCCAGCAACGAATTAATACCTACATGGAAAGAAGCACAAGGGACAGTGAGGGGAGTTTGTTCCTTCACCTCCTCACCCTCAGCCCTCGTTCTCCTCGCACTGCAGATCCCGCCGGCCTGGCAAACCAGTGTCGGCCTCCCCAGCCGTGAAATCCGTTTTTCATCCTAGATTCCATCTAGATATGGACTCCCGAGTGGAGATTTCTCTTCAAAGTCCCACACGGCTGCCCCCCAGTGAAAAATTAATCACCACAGACTCACAGACTGGGTGTTTCTTTGTACTAGGAACGTGGCGTTTCTCACCCTGTGTCCCTAATCTCTTCTGCTAGACCGGGGTTTCTATTGTTATTATTAAAGGCACTATTACTGCACAATTATTGTGACACCGGGGGCTGTCCTGTGTGCACTGTGGAATGTTCATTTCAGCACATCCCTGGATGAGACCCACTAGAAGTCAGTAGTTCTGCCCCACACCCTCCCCTCCCCTCATTGTGACGACCGAAAATGTCTCCAGATGGCACCAAATGTGCCAAATGTCACCCCTCATTGAGAAACGCTAAGCTAAGCTGCAGGTGAGCTCCCTGTAGCAGGCAGGGACCAGCACCCTCCACTCATCTATTTCTGAAGCCACCAGTTTCTCTAAGGAGCCCTTGTGTCTTTAACAGAGCACCTGGCAGGGACACCATTTCTCTCTCACACGAGGAATGAAGAACAAGCACGTGCGAATGCAAGAACACAAAAGCTTACAATAACCGTAAAATGAAAAAACAAAACATCCTGCTGCCTGCAACAGATGCTTTCAAGAAGTGTGAGGTCCTAATCACCGAGTAACAAATGGCAAGTCATCAGTAACTCTAGGGGATCATTTTTCTGTTTCCCCTACTTTCATGTACTTCATTTCTTAGCCCGCATTTTATGGGAGACGGCCACAGGTCCTTTTAGCCAAAACAAAAAAAAAAGAAACAAATAAAAATTTGAGGTGACTTTAAACTTTACTCACTGTTCAGGTCTGAGAATGCCTTGTCCTTGGTGGTGTTGTACTGGGCCAATATAAATTGGATTTGCTGGAGAGAAAAATTACATGAGACCTCCCCTTCTATGGTCCAGAGACATAATAAAAAGACAAAAAGTGACTTAACACATAAAAGTTATCCTGAATCAGAATATTTTAAAAAAGAAATAACCAGCAGGTTCTTAGAGATGCTTCTATTTTCTGACATCCAGACTTCTTAATAACACTCTGAAGCTTATTGGCTTAAAACTTGACTTATTATTTCTTAGGAGTCTGTGGATTGGCTCTGTGGATCTTCTTGTTGGATGGGCTTGGCTTGGGACAAGTGGGCCTCCGCACCCTCTGTGGACTCTTCCTCTCCCAGGTGGCCAGCCTGGGGTGTCTGCACATGGTGGCCCCAGGGTAACCAGTAGCGACAGAGTAAGAGTGGACACTACAAGGCCTCTGGAAACCCAAATTCAAAACTAGCACAAAATCACGTTATTTTCCTGATCAAAAGCTCATCACAGGGACAGCCCAGATACCAAGCATTAGAAAAGAGATCTACCTCTTGACCAGAGAAACCAAAAATTCACTGCCATTTGTGATCTACCACGCCAGGTCCATTTTATTTAGTGACCGTTACTGACTGGCCTCCGAAGGGGCTGCTTACCCTTCTGTTTCCTGTGACTCAGTGGACCTGTCTCCCCACTTCCTCTGTGATACTGGGTGCTACCATTATTAAATAATTATTGACAATCTGCTCAGTGAAAATGTGCATCATCATTTAAATTTTCATTTCTCTAATTTCTAGAGTAAGGCAAAGCCTCTTATTCTGTTTGGAGCCAGTTATATTTCTTCTGTAGATTGCCTGTTCACATTCTCTGCCCAGTCTTTTATACACTTGTTAGAGCTTTTCATATATTTTGGACTAAATAAGTTTCTTGCAAAGTCATAACAGTTTACTGTCCTTGTAGTGTTATGAAAGCAATCCCAAACTTCATTAGCCATGATTGCTGTCTAACTTTGCCAACCTTTTAGGGATAAAGTTTTTCTTTGAACTCTTTGGAATGATAGGTAAAAAATATTACAAATTCTTATTCACAGATTGGGAAAAGGAATCATTTCCATCTGTGTATGGACTATAAAAGTGTAGATGAAATTGACTTCTCTATTCTCAATATTTAAAAATGCCTGCATTTGTTTCTCTTTTATTTTCTATTTTTAAAACTAGCACAATATTTAATGTATTAATATTTTTAGAATGTAATACATTTGGAAGAACACATCCTGTGTGAGGAGGTTTACGGATTCTGGCAGACTCTCACCAGTGAATCCAGGGAGAGGTACCCTCCTCTCCATGTTGCTACCCATGAGCATCACACATTTACCCTAGTTCCCACCCAGACACTTTTTAAAGCAATGCTCTGAATAGGTAATACAGCAACACGACATGCTTCTGGAATACAGAAAAAGGGAGCCCTTCCCTCCCATCGCTGCCCTTCAGCAATCCCATTCCCCTTCGCTAAAGACGACTTGTGTGTCCGAGTGTGTGTGCCTGTGTGCGTGTGTGTGTGCGTGTTTGCGTGTAAGAGTGTGTGTATGTCTTTCCTAAAGAATTTGACACACCTATACTGATATTAGCAAATGGGTGTTTATAAAGCAGAAAGGTCTCCTGACAAGAATAACTTTATGCAAACGATGTTGAATTAATTATACCGCCAAAAAAAGGAAAGATAGTAGCATTCAAAGACTTTTCTTTTTTAAAAAAAGTCATGAGAGCCTTAAAATGGTTAAGTACTTTTATAACATGTACTATAATTTTATGTCATACCTTAATACCATAAAATAAAAACACCAATTCTGAATTCATGCTTTTGTACTCTTTTGAAAATCACTTGCTCGGCCTTTATTTTTACATCTACCACAATAAAAGGTAACACCCGTCTACATTGATTCACTGGGTTTCTAGAAGGTTCAAATGAGATTCCAAATACAGGAATTCCGAAAAGCCAAAAATACAAAGTGCCATGGGATATACGGATTGTGGTTTTACCTCTGGAGTTTGATTCAGGAGAGTTCGCAAGTCTTTGAAATTGCTGTTGGCCAATATCCGAGTCCTTTTGATCCGGGTCCGCACCGAGTGGTTCGCCACGAAACCACAGAAGATGCCGAAGCTGCAGGAAAAAGAAAAAGGGAGGAAGAGCATTGACCACAAGGCCTGCAGTCACCTGGCCAGGTCGGGGCAGCACCACGGGAGCTGGGAAGGGGCCGCGAAGGACCCGCGAAGGACCAGCCTCTCCTCTGCCCCCTGTCCTCTCTGCCACGCTATGACCCCACAGTCAACCTGCCACCAATGAGGGCCACAAAGCAAGACTCAGTCCTCTCAGAGCAGTCAAATCTCTATTTAAGATAAAGTATTCTGTTCAAAATGACTCTCACAAGAGGAACAATGTTCACAATCGATTGTGGAGGAAATGGAAGTTTCAAAGGCTGTAAGACAGCACCCATGATCCAGCCCATTCCTGGGGAGATGCAAATGTGTGTGCACACAAACACACCACACACCTCTGCTCCTCCCACCCGAAGAAGACTACAGGAAAACACACCGAAATGAGAAGAGCGACTTGGGCCTTCTCATGTTTTTTGGCTTCTCTGTTTCTGTATTATCCAGGCAGAAAAGAAATAGGGGCTACTTTAGCATTAAAATGCTATTTGAGAAGTCACATAAAACAGAGTACCTATTGCATTGTTTCATTTACAGAAAGTACAAATACAAGCAAAATGGTGGCACTAAAAGTCAGTGGTTACACTCAGGGGAGGGTGGCCAATAGCAGAGTATTCTGTTCATGGGTGTATTCCCATCATGGAAATTCATGCATATGTACTTATGAAAAGGATACTTTTCTCCATGTAAAATATGCTTCAATAAAAAGTTTCAAAAATGCCATCTGAAAGGCATCTTGCAGGAAAGGCTACTTTGTGAAAAAAAAAAAAACACAACATTTTTCAAGCCATCTAAAATGTCTACATTTAATAATTTTTAAGGGTTCTTAATGTTGACTAGTTGCTAACAATCTTTTGACTTAAATTGATTTGACCAATTAGTTTATTTTTGTGGCAAAGTCTTCAAACATTTAAATGTTAGATTAAAAAGTGCTGATTGCCAAGGTCCTGTTGGATTTGGCCAGTAGATGGCAGCAAGAAATTATGTAAACATACAGCACAACACTGACTATTTTACATACAGAAGCACGTAACAAAACTCAGTTTGTAACCATCCAATGGGAGATTGTGGATATATTTTTAGAGCAAAGTTTTGCAAATAATAGGCAAACTTTAGAAAAAATAGTCAGATGTATAAAATCAATGCACTGCCTCTTCAGCAAAAGCAATGTGTTGGGGCTTTATGTGTGCATATACCTATAGGTATGGTAACTAAGCACCCTGTTTTTTGCCCTGAAAATCCTGTGTCTCCAATAAACTTCTCTATCCTGGGTAAATGGGGACAGTCATTCACCCCACTTGCAGTATTGATACATTTCAAGTAGTGTTGGTTCATTGCTGATCTCAAAACATATCTGCCCTTGGCCGTATTACATAGGTCCATTGGGTTTTCCAAACTAATCCAAAAAAGCCTATATAACACAACCTTGAACAGTATTTCTATGGTTACTATATTGAGGTGGCATGAGTATGACAAGAGGAACATGAGATTTAGGTTCTAGTCCCTCTATTGCCACCAACCTAATGTGCAAGCTAGAGAAAGTCACTTTCCTTCTGCCAGCTTCAGTTGGCATCTCAGAACTGAAAACATCAGTTTAGATCTTTAGATACAATTAAATGAATCAGATCCAATCTAACTTAGATTAGTGCTTCTCAAGCTGTAAAGGAGAAGGGTACTGGACGTCCACAAATTCTCTAAGATTTTTAAGTTTGCATTAATTCTCATGGTAATCTTAAAAAAATAAATGCTAAGGATATTCTGTGTCATTTGGAGTGACTACCTTATAATATGTCCTAAATTTACATTGGCAGATGTTACACCATGGTAATAAGTAATTAAATGATGCACTTATGCCAAATAAGGTCAAATGACCCCAAATAATGATGTTGGAGTTGTGCGAAGAGGAAACACACACACATATATGTTGAATCACATCAATGCACCTGGAACTCTATTTACTGTGCCAAGTTCGAAACATATTCTATACCATGACGAGTCAGGACCACCACCTGAACATCCGTACCTGACGTTCACACAAGCGGTCCTTGCTCTCTTTCCCTCCATGTCACTCATCATGCTTCAGACCCATTTTGCCATGTGAGAAGTCCAGGTGAACTTGGAAGCAACAGCAAGTCCAGGTCCACTTCCACTGACCCCTCCACCATCCCCAGATGGGAGAAGCACCTCCTTGCCTTGAACTCCCAGAAGGCTCTCCCTCCAATCCTTATGGGGTATTTCTCACTTTATATTCTATCTTGTCTTTATTTCTACCTACATTTAATTTTCCTAAAAAGAGGTGGCAACTGCCTCTTTGTCACCTTTGCATGATGCAATCTCGTCCACAGTAGGTGCTAGATAAAGATGAGTTTAAGGACTGGGCTTTGGTTTCATTTCGTCTATTTAGAAGACTGGCCATGTGTTTGGAGTGTCTAAGTCAGAACTGTCTTTGTTCCTCTGTTGAATAAGTGCCTTTACTCACCAGATCATCAGTCAGTAAAATGAATTGCGATACCCCATTCAATTGAACACCGGTCTTCAATACAACCCCGAATTTCAACGCTACACATTTAAAAAGACCCACATTTCTGCTAATCAATAATGGATCCAATTAAAATAAAAACATTGATAATTAAAAAAAAAAAACTATACTAAGCCAGGTGCAGTAGCATGCACCTGTAGTCCCAGCTACTTAGGAGTCTAAGGTGGGAGGATTGCTTGAGCCCAGGAGTTCAAATTCAGCCTGGGCAACAGAGTGAGACAATTATCTTGGAAAAAAAAAAAAAAAGAAAGAAAAGAAAAAGAAGGGAAAAAAAAATACTAAACAGAACTATGGAATAGAATTCAGTGACTTTCAAAGCTATTTTCTGACCCATACACAGCGTAAATTTTATATTCACATTAAGGATGAAAAGTCCGAATACCTACAGGGTAGGCAGAAAGCACGAAGGGAAAGAGGGTGCCACGGGGCTATGGGAGCTGCGAGTCAAAGCTGCGGCAGGGACGGCTGTTCTGCAGGTCTCAAAAAGGCCACCACGATAGCAGACCAATATTGCCAGAATTTCCCATTATCCACAACACTCTGGAAATCTGGATTCTTATGTGAAATCTTCTAATTTTTAAACATTAACAGCTAATCCAAAAAAAGATTTAAATATTATGCAGACCCATTGATGGTCTCCATTTGCAATCTCTAATATAAACCTTCTATTAAAACACAAATAGAAAATAAAGAAATTATGCTGTTTCTCATTGATTTAGATACCATTAATTCATATGATTTTTCTAAGCAAAAGAATCCTATGAATTAATGTTTTATTTTTTAACAGTTACCACTCAACTATTAGGGGATGAGGATACTGAGAGAAATTTACCTATCACAAAAAGGGAATATAATTTCAGTGAATATTAGTTTTCTGCTATTTGACAGAAATGCCTTTAATTTATCAAAGACATGTGTTTTTATGCAGTACAATAAAATCTCTTGAAAGTTTTAGCAAAAGACAGGAAGTTTTATTTTTATGGCGTATTAGCCTCATATCTTCCATATTTTATGATAAAAAACTAATTTCCTCACATATACACTTATAAGTAAGTCCTTAAAGATTAGGGCTAAAACTTTAAAACTTGTAGCAATTTTTTCTACCAATTTCTACTGACAATGAAATTGACAATGAATGCCAAATAAGTGTTTTCAGTCTGTAATTGATCTTTATTCTTTTAAAGGTAGTTTTTAAATTTTAATTTTAAATAACTAGACCTCATTCACATTAAGAAAGCCTCATGATTTTTAAACATGCTATATCTAGCTCAATTTTCTTTCTGCAACCCTGTGGCCTGCACATCAGGAATTGTCAATCACATCCTAGTATAAAATGAACTTTGAAAATAGCCACCTTCCTGAAAATGACGGAGATTCAATTCACCACGGGCATCTTTAGCAAAACTGACTTAGCATACTCAGAAACTTAGAAATATACAGAAGAAGTCAAGATATGATTGTTCTTTTTTTTTTCCCCATAACTTTTTTGAAACTCTGAAAAATGTAGTGATGACAAGTGAAAAGAAAGAAAGGACAGGAAACTTGGCTTTTTCCGGAGTAAGGCACATCTGCTTACTCAGTCTACAGCCAGAGGTGGAAATTCAATCTTCTGCTGACAGTCAAACAGACTACATAAACATATGCCAGGGGCTCTGGAATTCTGACATTCCACACCTACCTTCGGAAAAGCTCAGAGAAAGAACATGACCACATATTTTCCACACGTGCTAGAGAATATTTCTTCTTAACACCTATGCCTTCTCCCCTGGACACGTATACTCAAAAAAAGATTTAAAATGTTTTAAATAAAGAAGGATGGATGAAAAATTAGAGTACTCAAGACTAATTTTAAAACCAGCTCCACTGAAAGATTGTGACATTTAGAGCCACAAAGTAGAATTGAACTCAGTAAAAGGCAAGTGCTCTGGGTTTCTGAAAGAACTTTTTTACAAAAATCAAACACAAAGATTATTTCTCATCAGTATTCAATCTCTGCTGAGGTCAATGTAAACTAGAGGCTCTGCATAAACAAGAGGGAACTCTGCTAGCAGCTCCTTCCTTTCTCTTTCTGCCTTCTAATTTTGTTGACCCTCCCTCCCCTCTTACTGTTACCTAATCTTCTGATTTTGTTGACATACTTTCTTCTCCTTTTTATCTAATCATGATATAGAAAACTTCACTTTCCCCAGCTCTTTAATCTTCCTGGCTAGCTCTGATTACTGGCAAACAATATAGAGCTATTATTCAACTCATGATGTTCAAGATACTTGCAAACCAGTAATGGTTTCAAAAGGAAGACATCAAAATAGCTATAGAAATCAAAAAGTTCAAGGCAAAGAAGTTTGAACTTCTTGTCTGAATTTAAGGTAAGCAAAGCAAATGAAAAACTCATACACTATTCTCATTTAGACCTATTTATAATTTATATATAAATTCAATGTACTACATATATGTTGAATCACATCAATGCACCTGGAACTTTATTTACTGTGCCAAGTTCGAAACATATTCTATACCATGACGAGTCAGGACCACCACCTGAACGTCCGTACCTGACGTTCACACAAGCGGTCCTTGCTCTCTTTC